ATGGGAAATGGGAAATGGGAAATGGGAAATGGGAAATGGGAAATGGGAAATGGGAAATGGGAAATGGGAAATGGGAAATGGGAAATGGGAAATGGTCCTTACGCGAAAAATGGCCTTTGACCTGGAAGATGTCATGACCATTAGGAGCCTCGGCGTGGAAGCTCTTGTGCAAAGAGAAATGTTTGTTCTTTAGAGTGAAGATCTCGTTGCCGTTGATATCGGTGAACTCTGCAAGCAGCAAGTCGAGTCAGTTTTGGTGCTGGCAGGGCAATCAATAGTTGCGGGAGTGTACGGTACAGGGACCACACCGCCGCAGCAGGATCCAGCAAATATTGGCACACCGCCGCAGCAAGGATCCAAAATGTTGCAACACCGCGGCGGCAAGGATCCAGCAAATATTGCAACACCGCCGCAGCAAGGATCAAGCAAACGTTGCAACACCGCCGCAGCAGGATCCAGTAAATGCTGCCACACCGCCACAGCAAGGATCCAGCAAATACTGCAACACACTCACCACACTCACTGCACACATTCACTGCATGACGAGTCGAGAGGGTGGCACCCTAGGGGCCGAAGCCCAAAATCCAAAACTTACTTTTCGCACTGCTGATGGACAGCACTTTTCCCTTACAGCGACAGACCTGGATCCCGGCCACCGTGGTGACGGTGAAGTCGTCGCCGGTCAACGAGAAGACCTTTTCCTTCATCTGAAGCGTCTGCTCGGTGGGCTGGGCGAAGACCGGGTTGGGACCCAGTGGAGGATTGAAGGGGGCGAGAGGGGCCATGATTCCGATTCTGTGTGACTGAGACTGAGACTATGATTCTGATTCTGGCTGTGACTGTGACCGGGAAGACCAGGACGACGGGGATGACTTCAAGTGGTTTGTCAAGGGCAATGGCCTTTTCCTTGACTACAAAAAGGCGTGTGTGGGATCTGATCTCAGGGTGCTTTACAACGGAGAGGCGTGCAGTGATACTACGGAATGACAGTTGGAAGAAGGTTCGGTCGCCTAAAGCCGGTCCGGTCCTCGAGGCCGGAAGCTTGGGCGATGATGTCATTCAGATCCGGGGGGTACAGTGGCAGTACAGTTGCAGTACAGTCGCAGTACAGTTGCAGTATAGTGGCAGTATCGTGACAGTATACGGAGTAGTGGCAGTATAGTAGCAGTACAGTCGTGGTACAGTGGCAGACTGGCAGTACAGTGGCAGTACATCGTGGTTGGCACCAACTCATTTGACCCTTCAGGCATGTTCTGCTATTCAAGTTGTCTCAGAATGAGCGAGTCATGCTTTCAACGAGTTATCTGTTATCTGATTCAATAAAGAATCCAATCTACTCAATGCCATGCTCATCAGCGAGCTAGCCCACCCTCCTCCTCCAGCCCCAATCCGGATGGCGCGCTTCCACCGAGAAATGAGTTGGGACACTTCCGACCTCATGCCCTCTTGTGAAACCTCGGCGACGCTCAGGAGCAACAGCTGGACGAGGAAGGTACTTACCATGGCGAAATTCCCCTGAGACCAGGAATGCCAGAACGAGTTCCAAGGTCCGACCACAGACACCATACTCTCCAGCAGCTCTACGGCACTTCTTGCACAGTTGACGGAGCCGGTCAAGATGGCATCGGCAGCAGATCTGTGGGGTGCTGTCGGGGTCGACAATGTCGAGACATGGTTCTGGATTGGACGGAGCAAGGCACGAAAGAGGATGATGGAAACCACGGAGCATGCCAGATGGACAGATGCACTGAGCCCGGATCCTTCTTCGTCCAGTGGAAGGTCAGAGTTGAGTCTCTGTCGACACTCGTTGAGAGCCGACCGGATCGGACGAGCATGTTCGAGTGACTTGAGCATATTTGATGCCGTCTCCTTGCTGGCTCGCACCGTATAGTAGCTTTCATAGATTTGAGACAGGAGGCAAGTCAGGGTGACGAGATGGTAGAAGTGAATGGCCTCACTCGGAACAAACCCCACGTCGTCGGTGAACTCTGGCGCCGGTCTCAGGACAGGGATGTCGTAGTCCTGAGAGCCAATGGACCGGCCGCCGGGGGAATCCATACTCATCCACAAATCCATACAAAAGGTGGCCCACCATAGGCGCGTGCGAAGCTGCTTTTCGGTCAATGGGATGCTCCAACTGCTGCAGTCGTATTGGAGGCCAAGCCATCTGGCCATTGTCACCGCCAGGGAGGTGAGCCAGGAAAACGTCGGGGTCAAGCCTGGAAGTTGGTGTTGAGAGGTCGGTCCTTTTTGAAGCAGCAAGAGGCATGCCTGCAGGTTTTCTATCGAAGGCGAGTTCGCCTCTTCCAAAATGGCCGTGGTTGCTATCGAGTAGAGCCTCTCCCTTGTTTCCAACATGTCTGTCAAGGTCGCGCTCAGATGGTCATCGTGCATGGCGAAGGGCAGAGCGGTCGCATAGAGGCTGGCACGCAGAGCAAGTGGCGCATTGGCATCTCTGAGCATCTTGAGCGTGTCGCTGTCGCTTTCACTGTCTGCTTCACTGTCGCCTCCGCCTTCGCCTGGCACAAGATGTGGCAGAATTGGAAATCCAGGCTGCACGAAGCGGAAGAAGAGTTGAACCAAGCGTTCACGCTGCTTCTCAGAGAGCAGAGTCTCGAAATCTGAACATACCGAGGTTTCTGAAGAAGTGGAAAGCTTCGCCGGACCTGGCTGGGGGGTCATTCCGATCTCCAGAAGGATGGGGGTCTTTTGTTCGAGGGCCAGATGTCCATCGACTCCCAGGGTGCGACTACGGTGGAAGACGATTCGAGGGATCTCCAGATGATCCTTCCTGCCAACGAACCCGTCCATCACATAGCGGCCAAGATGGCCCGTCTCCGGTGGTACCTGGGAGCGATGCAGGCGGGCTATATTGTCATAGTATGAGTCTCTCTCTTTCGTCGGCCGTTCCAATGCCAGTTGTGAAGTGGTTCTTCCAGCCGAGATTCTGCTTTCCAGGATGGACGGATAGGGGCCGGGGCCGGGGCCGGGCCCTGCGCCACCCGAATCCGAAGATGTAGATGTAGCACTTCCAGCCCCTCGACCGTGTCCAGAAGCCTCAGAGATGGTGTTCCCAACCCCCTGTGAGCCTACGCCTACGCCTTCCCAGTTGATGTCGTCGAACTCGGAATATTCGGGCGGGTGGAGGTGGCCGTCTCCCAGCAGCATCAGATTCAGATTCAGATTCATGTCCGCGGACCGAGTCCTCCGTCGCTTAGAATTGTTGGGCTTATCGACAAATGTGCAGTCGCTTCCGCGGCTGTGGCAAAATGCACATGGCGGGGAGGAATCGATGCGGCATGCGATCTTCCTCGCTCGACAGAGATCGCAAGGCCTATCTCGTCGAGACTTGTAACGGCGTGGCCCTTGGCCGCGCATCGGAACCTCCATGTTGTGCTTTCCAAGACATGCTGGATTGTCGTGGACGCGAGAGGTGTGGCCTTTGTGCCGAGAATCATCTTCAAGGATGCAAAGGAGAGTTAGGGTTGACGGACGGCTTGAAAGGATAACAGCGGCGACCGGGGAAACATTATCTACTTTTGTAAAAGCGTCGGTGGACGACCGCAGGCTGACTCAGGGTGGGTGTCAAAACAGATGGCGGCTTACAAGCAGGCTTCCTGTTAACCAGATTTACCATCCACCTACTATAATAAAAGAATCGAGTTTTTCCTCTAGGGAGGCCGTAGAGTATATCTACCTACGTAGTATACTAGAAAGATATTTATTCACCCACCCCTTACCCCTGAGGTGCTCCTACTACGCAGGGAAATATCTCGCCAATTTCGTGGTAGGTGCCGCTGCTTTTGGGGGTACTTCCTACTAAGTAGTCTGCCCCGTACTGTTCGTTCTATGCCTGAAGCTGGATTGATTCCCTCGACGAGGTCAGTAAAGCACTGGCAGCCTCTGCGAGGATCCCTGCGTCTCCGCCAGCCAACATGACAAACTTGAACCCCATCTTCACCAGGCGTGCTGTCCAGTTTGGCGATCCCAGTATCCCCACAGGTTTCCCGTAACGTCGGCCCAGCTCCAGCACCCTTTGCAATGCTGCGAGATATGCAGGCTCATTTCCATCCGGACCCGACAATCCCAAAGAATGCCTCAGGTCAACCGGACCAATGAAGACGCCGTCAACGCCATCGGCGCGCATGATATCTTCGGCGTTGGCCACGCCCTCGGTGGATTCGATCATGGGCAGAACCATCACTTGTGACGAAGTATGCTCCTTGTAGTCCGCCATGGTGGCCGTGACTCGACGGTCGGCAAAGGGGGCGCGGAAAGGACCATAGCTGCGCTGGCCCGCGGGTGGATACAGCGCTCGTTGGACGATGGCCTCGACCTCTTTCTTGCTGTTCACCATGGGTATGATGATTCCTCCTGCACCGCTGTCCAAGGCCCATTTGATCCATTCGACGCCATGCGAGGGCACCCGAATGATGGGCGAGCAGTTCCCCCCGGAAGCCGCAACGGTGGAATGGGCCATGGCCGTCATCTCGGCTGGCGAGAGCGGCGAATGCTCCATGTCGACCATCAACCAGTCAAACCCACATCTTGCCAGGATCTGAGCGCTGTACGGATCGTTGAAGCTGACAAAGGTCCCAAGCAAGTAAGGTTGAGACAGAAGCAACTCCCGGAACGAAGGCATTTCTGATTCTGACTATGATTCTGATTCTGATGCTTTCCCTGACCGCAAGCACGTATCTCGTTATCGAGTAGAGATGCGTCCTATAAATACAGTTACAGCGTACATTCTTCGTCTCCCCATCGGGGTCACGGCCACCGCCGAGCAATTCATCGCCATTCTCGTTTGCGCAAAGCTGGAACAAAAGTGGTGTTGAAGTAGCCTCCGCTCGCTTTCGGCCCCTTAGGTGTCAGCTTATCGCCTTCGATCACGGGCAAGAGGGACAGGGGGAGATGGACGCGGAGATAGGCGAGATATAGTGCAGTACGCCGTAAGTAACTAGATTTATAGCGGATCGGGGATATTGTATCTTGGATCTAGGATCTGGATCTGTACGACTCTAGGAAGTCAGAAGATGAATCGTCCTACGGTCCTTTTTATGCCTACAGAATAGGTAGTGTTCGAACTGACATTTGGTTTCCGTCCGCTACTATCACAGGCCGAACCAGAGTTTACAGTCTTGTGAAAGATTCAATATTGAGACCCCGGGTTCCCATCTCCAGTCATCTCCCTTGCAGTGTGGCTCATGTACGCGAACTGCTCCTCATTCCATTGAGCCATTAGCTTCGCAATCTCGGTGCCGGGCAAGTTTCCTTGTCGAATATGCTCCTTGAGAAACCGGGCTCGCTTCTCGAGGACCTCAAGGCGGTAAACGGACCATTGCTGGAAGAGAGGGCCCCAGCTGCTGCTCCGCTTCACATTTCCCAGATTGCTGACGTCCTTGAGATGGGGGTCTTGGGCACGGAACGATGTCACCATGGTCACCCGCTCACCCGTGCCCATGGCTTTGAGAGCAATGTGTTCAACACAACCTCCCTGCATCATGACCGCCCAGCCAACTTCAGGACCTCGAACCTTGACAATCGATCCATCACCCTTTCGGAGGCCGGTCTCGCCACCGACCATGTTGCTTGGATCGGAGAGCATGCAGACGCAGACCCAAGGATACGAGTCGGTGTGCCACAGGCCAACCGACGTGAGTTCCTCGGACTGGTCAACCGTCAGAGTCTCGGCCACAACCGCAGCCGACGTCGACTGCCTGGGTGGGAGAGTCGGAGGTAAGGCATCGGCCAAGGACATTCCGTCTTCGAGGGCGTCGACCTGCACGTTGACGTGACCGATCTCATAGTCGAACACCACCTCGAGATCAACCCCGGCGGCGGTGGAGCATGCTTGGAGGACTTCGGGGCTCCGCCAGACCGAGTCCACAAACGGTGTATCCTTGGAATATCCTCTCATCTTGTAGCAATGCGGCTTGGTCCTATTTCCGTGCCGTTCGACCACCTCTTTGCGGAACAGGTCAGCTCGCATCTGCTTGACGCCTTCCAGGGTGAACAGCGGGAAAGGCTCGGTGATGGCCACAGGCGAGATGGCATTCTCTTCCGAGAGGAGTAGTTCTTTTAGGGTGATGATGGATTTCGGCGGTTGGAAGCAGAGATGGATTGAGGGATCGAAATGTGAGACTGCTTCTGCAGATAGGGTCGAGATGAAGGGCTCGAGCTTGGTAAATGCCGGGTCGAGCGACGCTCGTGGCATAACTGCAGTTTCGGCGGCCATCTCAATCTCGGATGTGTCTCGTTGTTAATTCGTTTCTGGCGATTCCCGAGTCCTACCAACAAGCCTGCGGTTCCAAAAGCCTTACATTGTTTTATAGGAGACCCTGTCAGGACGACCCCTCCCCAAGAAGCGTGGACCGGATCCATCATTGTATCGGTATTCGTGAGGAAACATTGGCACCGAGATAGGTCAAACCTTCGAACTGATAGAAGGAGACGGCAAAGACGGGGGACGGGGGACGGGGGAGGTTCTGATAGTAGTAATGTAGTGTAGCGTAGTGTAGACGTGGCGATCATCTCCGTCCTCCACAACGCCTGAGGAGCCTTGTACTCTTAGGGTTAGGGTTAGGGTTAGGGTTATAGATGATAGCCGTACTCGTCTGTACCAAATGCGGACGGAGATAACCCCTTAACCCTCCTCCAGGCGCCCCTTGGCCGTCGTTGCCCGTGATAACAGGCGTGGTGGAACGGAATTTGCCCTATCTCAACAAGCACCCCAAAAAGAACCAATCATTGAGCTCGACCTTCCCCGTACCCGCCGTAGCCTCACAACTATCACCCTGCTTCAAAGAGTATCTGACTCTACAGCGAGCCTTTGTCGGGTTGCGAACACAAGAGACGGTTCGGCTCTGAGTGGTTATCAAACCAGCTTCGCGCAACCTCACCATGTGCTATCATCGATATCAGCGAACGCGACCACGACCACGACCACGACCACGCATACAAAAGGGCACCTGTTCCTCTCTGCCCCCATGATCTTCTGGCCGATACTAGAGGTAATCAGATATAGATATTGATATTGATGAAAATTCCAAGTCATGGGTTCCGACAAAGACACCAAGATTGCAACGGAGAGCGCGATACCTGGGGAAACCCCTGAGGCCGGCACGTTTCGTGAGTATAAATCTCTGCAAGTCGATGGCGTCGACCCGGTGTTTGAGCATCAAGCTCGTCTAGTGAACCATGCGGTTCAAGGCATTGGCATGGGAAAGGTGTGAAAGACCGCATGGCCGGCTCGAGCTCAACTCGATGGCTAAGGGTCCTGGCTGACTTGCATCCAGTACCAATGGGCTCTTTTCGGACTATGTGGCTATGGCTGGCTGTGTGATCAGGTATGGATCTGGATCTGGATCGGGGAAGCTGGCATGGAAACGATGTTGACGAGTTCCAGCTTTGGCAAACGACGATATCCGATGCCCTTGCACAAGTCGCCATTGAATTCACTCCCCAACATTCGGCTTTTCTTTCCCTGGCCTTGATCGCCGGGCTTGTCGTGGGCGCTTCATTTTGGGGTCTTGGATGTAAGATACAGATGGCTTTGCTGGCTGTGCGACTGGTCACTGCTGGGACTCTCGATAGGCTTACACTTACACATTCACCAGGTGATCTTATTGGAAGGCGGCTTGCATTCAACCTGACCTTGCTGATCGCCGGCATCTTTGGAACTGCTGCTGGGGCTGCCCCCAACTTTGTGTCTTGCGCGGTTCTGGTTGCGCTCTGCGGCTTTGGTGTAGGAGGCAATTGTGAGTGCATTTCCATTTTTTCTGCTGCCCGGCTGACCCGCGAAGTGCCCGTTGACGGTGCCGTCTTCCTAGAATTCTTGCCCGGCACACACCAGTATTTGCTCGAGATCTTGGCAGTCTGGTGGTCGTTCGGACAGTTCATCCCGGCCGGCGCAGCATGGGGGTTCCTCCCGCGCTACTCTTGCAGTGCCGATACGCCGGCCGGCCAATGCCAGAAAGCCGACAACATGGGATGGCGGTATCTGATGTACTCGATGGGGGCCATCACGCTGGCCGGCTTCTTTGCACGCTTCTTGCTGTTTCGGCTGCGAGAAAGTCCGCGCTACCTGATCGGCCAAGGGCGATACCAGGAAGCTGTAGACGTGCTCAACGACGTTGCTCAATACAACGGGACCACGCAGTTCCTCACCGTGGAAGACTTGCTGCAAGTCGAGAGAGAATATGCGGGACAAGGAGGAGTTCCGCGGATTGGCAAAACCACGGCCCTGAAGAGAATACTGGCGCAGTTCCGTCCGGGCGGGTTCAAACACGTCCGAGCACTGTTCGCGTCCAAGAAACTGGCTTGGAGCATGACCTTGATCATCCTCGTTTGGGGTATGATCGGCTTGGCTTCGCCGTTGTACAGGTGAGTCGGCCGTTGTCAGCCGTCACGGTGACTATCTATACTCCCTGCTGGTTTCCTGCCCTCTGCACAGCATTGATCAGATTTCAACCCATGCATGGTCATGGTGAAGCGAGTTTAACATGCCATTTCTAACCCTACGGTCTTGTACAGCAACTTTTTGCCGGAATATCTGGCTCTCCACGGAGCACAGAGTGGCTCTGGAAGCATCAACATCACATATCGCAACAACTTCATCATCATCGCTTGCAGCATCCCGGGAACCATGTTGGCAGGGTGGCTGATCGGACTCCCATACATTGGGCGACGGGGAACCTTGGGTCTTTCCTTGATCCTGACCTCGGTCTTCCTCTTCGCCTTCACCGCGGCCCGGACCCAAGCACAGATCTTGGCCTTCAATTCTGTTTCAAGCTTCGTGCAATACATGTAAGTCCAGTCCGGTACCCTTGGGCCATGACCGTGAAAGTCCAAAGCCCAGTCCAGCATCCCTTGGGCCATGACCATGACCACGACCATGACCATGACGTCCGCGTCCACGTCCGCATCCGCCAGCTGAAACTGATGGTCTTCTACACTAGAATGTGGGGTGCATTGTACTGTTACACTCCGGAAGTAATACCCAGTATACACCGTGGCACGGGCACCGGGCTTGCCGCAGCCTTCAACCGCATTTGCGGACTAATGGCACCCATCATCGCCACATATGTCGGCTACACCAACACCCCGATATTTGTGTCGGCGAGTCTCTACATTGTTGCCGGCCTATTGAGCTTCTGCTTCCCGTACGAAACGAGTGGGAAGGCAAGTTTGTGAGTGAGTGTGAGTGTGAGTGTGATTGTGATCGAGGACAAGGATCCAGGATCAAGGATCAAGGACAGGATCAAGGATCGAGGATCGAGGATCCCTCCCTCGCTGGCTTGAGATTGAGACCAAGGCCGGCTGTAGGTTGTACTACAAGCTGGAAGCGAGGAGACGCAGTACCTTATCTAGAAAGCGCAGAGGAGAGGAGAGAGAAGACTCGGATTCGTCACGCAGGAGAGAAGGTACATATATATATATATACACATAACCATAGAAGTTCACCAACGCCAGAGACCAGAGGGCCGGAGAGGGAGAGAGAGACTCTCATGAGTACTCTATCGGCATCGGCATCAGCATCGCCATCTGCCACTGCCACCGCTACCAGTCGAGTCCGTACTATATTGTCGCCGCTGGCCTCTGTCATTGCGGGCTTGGGGCATTTTATTAGCTCGGCTTCTTGGGCACTTCTGGCTGCCCCTTAGGCCCCAGCCTCATTTCACCCACACTGGCCACACTGGCATGGCATGCTGAGGTACATACCTTACTCCGTACAGTCCTCGCATACCTACCTACAGTATAGGATTAACACTAGTATTAGTACTGTACCAGGTAGTACGTTAATAAGGGTCCCTATTGTCTGTCTACCTACCTGAGGCAGGTCATGCATGTATCCATCCATCCGTACTATGTACCTAGGTATTATAGGTACTATTATATATACTCCGTACAGCGAGTGAGTGTTTGGTCAGTGGTGCGTTAGGATGCATGAAGGGACATACAGTAGTCTTGAAAAGGTGGGTCCAGCTACGGATGCGGTACATGTATACTGTAGGGAAGGTATATTGCGCTGACACTGCTGACCAGAATCATGGATACACGAACAAGTTGGACGGTGCTTGCTTGCCTGTCATGTATCCGTTCCGTGCATCTCTGTACTTTTCCGCCGCCTCTGTCTCTCCCTCGCCCGTCTCACTTGGAAAAAAGGTCCTACCGCCTACCCCTTTTCTACCCTGTCAATGTACAAATGTCACCTTTCCCACCGCATCAACCTTGCACTTGGTGGCGGAGAAATCAAGCAAAGTCAAAAGTGCCCTGCCTTGTCTCTTCTATTCTACGCGCAGACACTGCAGCCGGGCCTCGGTCTCGATGACATCCAATGCCTGCCTGACTTCCAGTACCTTACGCACATCGGCCAGCCAGTCGCGGCTCAATACCTTGGCCCAGCCCGAGAGAGAGTTGATCTCTCGTGCGGCCCCGTCAAGATCTCCTTCCTCCAACAAGGTCTCGGTGCGGGTGAGAACACTTTCCACATCATCCCCGGTGGGATGGCCTTGTTTCTTGAACAGCACCTTCGACAGCACGAGACTGGCCGCGTGAGATGCAACCCCTGCGTTTTCCGGCAACAGACTGGCTTTGCGCACTTCATTGGCCACGCGGCGGAACCGGTCGATCAACTGCGGCTGACTTGGGATGCCTCGCTGGTACGCTGCTGGGTTGATCGATGCGATGGCGGCATCGACCACCGGGTCGGCATCGGCAACTAGTTTCAGAGCGGCCATTTCGCGCACGAAGGCTCTGGGTTTGGCCTCGGACGCGGCGGATTCGTCTAGCGCTGCTCGGACGGCGTCGACTGCGACTTGCAGTTTCTGGGTTGCGAGGTTGGCATCAATCACTCCGTTCCAGTTGGCCGTCAGTTCGGTGAGGTTCTCGACATTGGAGCTAAGGTCGGAAAGCTTGGCCAGGCGACCTCCTCGTTCTGACTCCACGAGCTCTTGGATCTGCTTGACGAATTCATGCTTCATCTCAATGGCTTGCTCCGCGAGCGCGTTCTTTAGCTGCTGTTCCGCCAACTCGGTGCTACGTTGGACCTCGGTCTTCAGTCTCTCCTCGTAGATATGTGCAATACGAGCCCGCTCGGCCTCGAACTCTTCTCGGTATCGAGCATCGTCTTCCGCCTGGGCGGTTTCGATACGTTTGAGAAGTTGTCTGGCGCCTTCATCGAACTCCTTGTGGGCTTCCTCAATGTGCTGTGCCGCCGCTTTGCGTTCAGCTTCGCGGAGAAGAGTGATTTGGCTGGCCACTGACTCAAGGGCTTCTTTCGCTTTGGCCATCGGGGCCGAGTACTTGTTGGCTGCATCGGCTGAGTCGGAGTTCACGACTGTGATCAGATCGTTGACAATTTTGACCAGTTCTTGTACCACAGGCTCGTCCGCGTTGGGCACCGCAAGGGGTGAGATTGATGTGACCGGAGGGATTGCTGGCGGTCGTGAGTCACCGGCCGCAGGCGAGTCGGATACTGCGCTCGGTGCCTTTGCAGATTGGTCAGAAGTCGACGCGACTTGTTTTGCACCAGAGTCCTTCTTTACGGTTTCAACCGCACTACTTCTCTCCTTTGGCGTTGCACCCGCTGGGTCAGCCTTGGCATCGATGGTGTTCTGTTTCGTAACAGGCTCGTTGGCACCCAATGAACTCATGTGTTTGCCCTTCTGTGTAAGATCACTGGACTTTGGTTCGTCCTCTGCCACTCGCCACGATATTCCAGACTTTTGCGGAATGGTGGTAACCTTGCCGTCTTCTTGTCTGTCTGGTCGGGGAAGCCTGACAATATTATGTCTCGTGTGAGGAAACTTTTTCTGGAAAGACCGCTCCTCGAAATATAATACAGCCTCTTCACCCAAAGGAATATACTCCGTAAAGAAATCATGGAAATTGTCATTGCTCAAGGCGTAGAATACAGCCCCACCATAGCTCACCGCGCTGAGGAGAAGGAGGTAAAATAGAGTGCGAAGACGTCTAAACCGCTTGCGCGGTGGCGGAGGTGGAGGAGTCGACTTCTGAGCCGGCGGTGGTGGAGGCGGTTCGGCCGGGCTCACAGATGACGGGCTCGTAGGAGGTGCCGTTTGCACTTTAGGTGGGCTAGGCGGTGCGAGAGGAACGTTCTCAGGAGGTATTGTCGAGGAGGAAGAGGGTGCCGCAGGACTGGGAGCTGGAGGGGCCGGGCTTCCTGGGCCTCCTGGGCCCAATGGGACTTCTGTCTTGACTGCAACAGCAGGACTTTGGCTCCCTGGCAAGAAAGCAGGGTCGGAGCTCAGGACCGACTCTCTCTTCTCGGCAAAGGTTCTTCTCTGTAGCGTCGGGGTCAGTCGCACGAGCTCGGTATCAACATAGATGTTTGAACGCACCTGGGGCACAGCTGGCGCGAGCAAGCGCCTACGCAAGGAAGCGCCCACAGGTCTGGTGAGACGCAGCATGGCGGGCCTAGCTGCCATTCCCAGGTGGCCGTGAAGACGAGTTTGAAGTGCTTGTCTAACAAGTGAGCGGGCTCGTTCAGGTCTCGAAGAATTCCGAGCTTGCGAAAAGCTCTCAATTTGGTTATACGCGACGCTGCTGTTACAACGTGAGGGTCGACAAATGGCATCACGTGACTTCGAGCTACAAAAGCGGCATGAGTTCCCTCAGATTGATACGAGACCATGAGACAAGTCCAGTCCGGTTTCTATAGTCCTGGCGTCTATCTGAGTGTCGTAAACTTTTCCCGTCGTTCTGCATTCCTCGAACGCCTTGCTAAAAGCCAACATGATGGGAAGGACGTCATATCTTCACCACCGAGTTTCAAGCCTTCCCTTTTCCAGCCCGCTCAAGCTTCCTTCGCTTCGCACGCAGCTTCTCTGCCTCGAGATCCCGCTTGTTGTTAGAGTACTGCATCTTCTCAAATAGCTTCCTCTTCTTGTTACTCATCATCATTTTTTGGCGCTCAATTTCCTCATCCTTCTTGGATTGGGCGGTCTGCCGAGCCTTGAGAGCTTTGGCTTTGCGAGCATCTTCCTTGGATTTAGCAACAGGGATGGGTCGGCCTGAAGCCTCTGCTTCGAGCTCTTTCTGATGTTGGGCTTCGTCATCAAGGTCCGAGGACAAACCATCGGCATCCTCTGTGCCCTCGAAACCAGCGAAACCGTCCGCAACTTCCTCTTCTGATTCGGCTTCTGAAGATGCCGAGGCAACATCCATATCACCAGCATCGACTTCGTTTTCTCCGTCCTCAGACTCGTCCCCATCATCTGTTTCTACTTCCTCGGCACTATCAGCGTTCTCCTCCTCCTCTTCGATGTCTTGGTCAGCTTCGCCTGCCGGCTCTTGCTCTTCTAATGTTGCCCTCGGATCGTACTGCCCACTGGTGGGTTTGATCCATGGACTAATATGCGGCGGGAGAGTAGCTCCAGGGGCATATAGGTCCGTTCTAAGAAGCTTACCCTCATTGACACAGTCCCAGATCCACTGCGGCTGGATATAAACCCGGCCAGGTACAATGTAGCCAGGCTTTATGGCTTGGAGGGGTTGGTCCTTGGGGTCGCTCTGCCCTTGTAGAGCAGGTAAAGGTTGCGCCAACGCGGGCCGATCCACAATCTGATGGGTAATTCTGGGGTCTGTCTCATCGTGGGTGAACGCTCCATCTCCAAGCACTGCGTCCCATCCAATTCGTTTGGCTCCAAATGCTCGAAGCAGGAACTCGACTGAATGGCGAGGTGCTTCGCGAGAGATGAAGAATGTGAAATTTGAGAACAGAGTTGAAGCTTCGTCCCCAGTCAGATCGGGTTGCGGTAATATGTCACCCTCTGGCGCCGCTGGCGTGAAAGTGTCGATGGTGCCACTGTCGGCCTGCTCCTCGGGATTTTCATCTTCCTTCGTGTCATCCTCTACCTCAGCTTCCTGCGCAATCTTGTCAATCTGGGCCTGGATGGTCTCTGAGTTCTGAATTTGGCCGTGACCATTGGTCAGCATTTTCTGCTCGTCCTCTTTCTGGTCAATTGCTCCAGCTACACGATGCCCTTCAAGTGTGAATGCCGAGAGCTCCGCCCCTCGTTCGTCACTGGCCACGTCAAACTTGGGCGGGTACACCAAGCCGATCGAGGTATAGAGTCTATAGTTGACAAACCCAAGCAACGTGCAGTAGAACTCCACGAACGTGCCCATGATTCTGTAGTCCACATCTTGTGTTACTCTTTGAACAAACTTGTATGGCACCAGCCACATGATATCTTGCCCCTGAATCGTGGCCTGATAATAAATGCCCTTTATGGACAAGAAGGACTTCCGAAGGGTGTGCGTGGTGATGAGGTAATGTTCAAATTCGTGGCACAGACGTTGGCAGCGGGCGATGACTTTGGCGGGCACGGCAGAGGTCGATGGAAGGTTTGCAAAGAGGAACAAAAGCGACAGTGCATCGTCAAGGTCTCTCAGGGCGTCGACGAAGGTGGGGTATCTTTCTCGCACGATGTGATCGAGTTTGATCTTGGGCATGGCATATTTCTCGAGTCTGACTGCGTCTTGGACTTCATTGCGACCGAGAGATCTTGCAATCTTTTTCGACAGGGCTTTTTGTTCCCGGAACTTCTGCAGAAGAGGCTCATGCAGCAGGTATTGGACATCTTTCGTGTAGTAGAAGGTGGTAGAATGGGAGGCCGACTTGTTTGCCTTTTTGATATTTCGCGGCTCCCGAGGATAGATGCCCTTGAAGATGCATAGTCTGCGAAAGTCCGGAAGGGAGATCTGTAATTTGCGCACAGCTTGCGTTCGGGTGATGTAGTTTTTGGCCTGGCCAGATTGGCCCTTCTTTTTCTGTTTCGCCATTTTCCGATGCTTCGTTTCCTGGAGAGAGAAAACCGGGACGGGCGCAACGGTGAATTCTACGTAAAAATGTCGAACGCAGCGAGAGGGAAAAAGTTTCGAGCCGGGCTATTCGGGGAAGGTTTGCCGACTCCGCAGCTGGATCCCGCCCGCGTATTTCGTACTGCCATTATCCACTGCATTGGCCACCTACCTACCTTGGGTACGTTGGCAGCCTCGACTCCTTTCTTTCCCGCCGTCCCGTCGATGACCAAGTCAAGCCCTCGTTGTCACCAAGAAGCGTGATGGCAATATCGCTCGACCGCAAGACGGCTGCGATATATGCTGGAGCGGCCCTTCTACGGCTTCTTGTCTTGGTGGCCTTTCCAGACCTGTCAGATTTCCTAGGCGAGCAAGTCGAGATCTCAACCCCAATCTCCAGCTTCAAAAGACTCCAAGAGGGCCTGTTTCTGTACCAGCATGGCCTTTCGCCGTATGACGGTGGCGTCTACCACCAAGCACCGTTGCTCCTGGTCATCTTCGAGATATTGCCGTCGGCATTAGTCTTTGTTGCTCTAGACCTCTCGAATGCCGCGTCTCTTCACATGATTGCCGAAGGACTACACCTTCCGACCCCTCGGTTCCGAAAGCTGGATGGGTCCATTATTGCTGCAGCGTACCTCTTCAATCCATTTACGATTCTCTCTTGTCTCGGGAAAAGTACCAGCATCTTCACCAACACCGCCATCATCCAGGCCGTTCTGAACGCTCAGTCGGGCAATGCCTTTCGGGCCATGTTCAGCCTCGCCATCGGCACATATCTGTCGATGTATCCAGGCCTCCTTCTACCGCCGACGCTGCTCATGATCCTCAAGAACAAGAGTCAGTCTACAGCCGGTCCCATTTTAATCATGTCATACCTCGGAGCTCTTGCCGCACTGCTCTCCGCTACACTTGTCCTCACTGACGGATTCTGGGACTTTATCTCGTCGTGCTATGGAGCACAACTCACAGTCACCGACCTTACACCGAACGTGGGATTGTGGTGGTATTTCTTCATTGAGATTTTCGATTCCTTCCGGGATTTCTTCATTGGAGTGTTCTGGTTACATCTGGCGGGATACGTTGGAGGGCTGACCCTTCGACTCCAAGACCAGCCACTGTTCGTCATCACCAGTCTTTTGGGGCTATTTGCCATTTTCAAACCATACCCAAGTATAGCGGATGTCTCGTTATACCTCGGCTTCCTGCCCATGTACTCGCACATTCTACCATGTAAGGTCTTGTGCCTTTTTGTCAAGGTTGTTGGCTGACTGGGATAGTAACCCGCTACACGTTCATCGCAGCTTCGGTGTTGCTGTATTCGACCCTTCTCGGCCCAGCTTTCTACCATTTGTGGATTTATGCTGGGTCTGGCAACGCCAACTTCTTTTACGCCATCACTCTGGTTTGGAGTCTGGGGCTAACCATTCTCGTCGGGGATACGTTGTTTGCCGTGTTGCGTGATGAATGGGAAATAGAGAGGCCCGAGATGAGGGGAAAAAGCGTGCGCCAGATATAGACATACAGGCATCAGTCGTTCAATCTTTTCGAGAGGATGATGTGACTTGGTTCTTTAATTGTGCCATTCCGTAGTCTTCGTGGACCGGGAGAAAACTCATCTTCTCGGTAACCCAGCCTGTAGTACCAATTGACAGCTCGAGTATTCGTCTTGAAGACGGTCAACATGGCTTTGGTCACACCGACGTTCTGGCCAATCGCCTCGACGATTTGCATAAGCTTCTTCCCCAGCCCTTGGCCCTGCCACTCAGGGGCGAAATGGATTTCGTAGATGTACACAACCTCGAAGCCATCCTCGTAGGTGATCATAAAGGAGATGAAGCCGGCAAGGCGCGAGGTCTTGCTTTCCACCAGGACAATATATCTCATGTCAGGCAGTCTCATCTCTTTCCTCTTTTTTGGCAGCGACCACTTGACCTCAGAGTTCTGGTAGTCTTCTGCGCTGGTCTGTTCGATCAGTTTCAAACATTGTTCGAACAGTGGCGGCGGGAGATGCGAGGCATCGGCTTGACATCTCTGCAGCTGCAGGTCTGAGAAGCTGTCTAGTAGAGAAGCTGATGGGGTTGTTGGCTTGTCGTTGTCGTACTTTGCGAAGAAGTCTGATGCGGCAAGCGCGTTTGCTGCTTCCACCACTTTTGCCTGTGCCGGAGCCTTACTCCGTAGGGACCGGCGTGTACCACCAGCACCATCCGAGGCGGCCATATTATATTGCAGGGTTTGGACGATGTCGTCGTCTCTCCCGTCTCTCCTCTACATTAAAAGCAGAAGCCATAAGCGCGGCACACGGCTTCTTCCCGCACCGTACTGCGGACTGCGTGCTACTGGCCGCGTGCTCCAACGTATCGGGCTTCAAATTAGCCGCTCGCAGATCTCCGCCATACGGCTTTCTCACCCAGGAGCGTACCTTAGGTATACGCCCTGCCTCATACCCTCGAGTATCTACAGATACGTCGACTCTCGGTACCGATCCGGCCGTGCCTCATACCCCTCTACGCATATTTCAATAGGATCCATTCGGTACCGATCCATTCTTGCTTTGAAAGCTTCACTCTCTACCAGATAACTCTATCTTTTGTTCTCAACTGGGCTCCACCTCCTCTATTTCCCTCTACTCTGACTCGTATCTCGGAGCCGCGAAGAAAAGTCTCCCAAGCGCTAGTCGTCGGGCCTCTCAATATTCCCAGGTTCGGCTAGTAGGGGGAGATACCACTGGGGAGCCAGTGTCGTCTCCAACTTGACTTGAGTGTGAAAGGAAACTCGCAACTCGCAAGTCGCTACTCGCACTCCTTCCCCCACATACGCCCTTCCTGCTCATATTGTCAATGGCGTCCCCAGCAGCTTTGTATCTTCGAACTCTCCTGTCCTCATCCCGCCCTCGTCTCCCGTCGACGCTCACCCGAATAGCGCACCCGTCGTACCGCATAATCTCTACCGCGAAGATGCATACCGTGCCCAAGCTCAAAGACCCCTCTCTCCTCATCTCCAAGGCCTTTGTCAACGGCGAATTTGTGGACGCAGCTTCCTCCGAGACCTTTGATGTCTTCGATCCTGCGAGTGGCAAGAAGATTGGCTCCTGTCCGGAGTTCAGCAAAGATGATACAGACAAGGCCATCGCTGCGGCCGTGGAGGCTTTCCCCTCTTTTCGCAAGACCCTGGCGCGCGAACGAGCAACGATGATTTTGAAATGGTACGAGCTCGTGCAAGAGAACGCCGAAGACCTGGCCACGTTAATAACATGGGAAAACGGCAAACCGTTCAACGACGCAAAAGGAGAGGTCGCATACGCAGCCAAGTTCTTTCAATGGTTCAGCGAGGAGGCTCCCCGCGTCTACGGCGACACCATTCCCTCCTCTGTCCCCGGGAACAGGATTCTGACCATCAAGCAACCGATTGGTGTCTGTGGTTTCATTACTCCCTGGAACTTCCCGGCTGCAATGATCACGCGCAAGATTGGGCCTGCTTTGGCCGCCGGATGTACAGTCGTCGCGAAGTCACCAGGAGAAACCCCATTCACGGCAAATGCCCTGGCTGAGTTGGCCCGCCGCGCTGGGATCCCCAAGGGTGTGGTCAATATAGTGACAGCCCTCAAGAACACCGTGGAGGTTGGCGAAATCCTAACAACAGACCCGCGAATCAAGAAGGTCTCCTTTACAGGATCCACGAATGTGGGCAAGCTCTTGATGAAGCAAGCTGCCGGGACTATGAAGAAACTGTCCTTTGAGTTGGGCGGCAATGCCCCATTCATCGTGTTCGATGACTGTCCCGACCTTGACGCTGCCGTCGCAGGAGCCATCGCCTGCAAATTCCGCAGTTCAGGACAGACTTGTGTGTGCGCCAACCGAATCTACGTGCAGAAAGGCATCTACGACAGATTCGCCGAGAAGTTTGCCGAGAAAGTCAAAGACTTCAAGGTCGGCTACGGTTTTGAAGACGGCGTGACACACGGCCCAGTCATCCACGACCGAGCGGTCAGCAAGGTCGACGAGCATGTACAAGACGCGAAGAAGAAAGGCGCCAAGGTCCTCGTGGGCGGACAGAAATTACCAGACCTGGGCTCGAATTTCTACGCCCCGACTGTGCTTAGCGGAGTGACCAACGACATGCAGATCGCCAGCGAGGAGACATTCGGCCCCGTTGCAGGCCTGTTCTCGTTCTCTACCGAGAAGGAGGTCGTCGCGCTGGCCAACGATGCACCCGTCGGGTTGGCTGGATACTTCTACTCACGCGATATTGGCCGAATTTACCGAGTGGCAGAAGCTCTCGAGGTCGGCATGGTTGGTGTCAACACCGGCCTGATCTCCGACGCGGCCAGTCCGTTTGGCGGCGTCAAGGAGAGCGGGTTCGGTCGTGAAGGCTCCAAGTACGGCATTGACGAGTTCACCGTGATCAAGAGCGTGACGATCGGTGGCATCAGCAACGAACTTGAAGGGTAGAGGTGGTGCATAGGGGCATGTCGCTGTGGATGAACACAAGCAGACCGCTAAGCTGAGCGAGATAGTGGATTGATTATTGTGGGCGACGATGATTATGTACAGTGGCGGAAGGTCTTATCTCGACGATTTAGACTCGTTGAGGATATGGAGCAGGTTGACAGCACGACAAAATCACGACAAAAGCATTTGGATTCCAGCTGAGATGGGGATGGAGTTGAAAATATGGTGGAGATGTGGTGGTGGTCGTTCTTTGGCTTGAGATGCTATTTATTCGGAATTCATTTGCACCATGATTGTACGACCAGTACTACTACCACTAGGGATGGACAAAATGAAAATGAAGAATGCCACAATATTGATACTCTGCAACAGGTGCAGCAGACAAATAATAGATGCAGACCATGTAAGGCGGGTAGGTGCCTATCTATGTAGTTCAGTAGGACATGCCATGTCAGGTCTGTACGGAATACTACTGTATAGTAAGATAGACTACATAGACTACCTCACAGACTATACAGCACACACCTACCTGGTAGGTACTTATAGGTGGGTGGCTCATACATACTGTACTGTATCGTAGACGGATATTTACTGCTTACTTCGTACTCTATACCGTACCTAAGGTAAAATCAAATCAATCCAATCGACCCCATCATTTCCGCATTTGTGTTTACGGAATAGGTACTGTACGTATGTATGTATGCTAGTAGCCAAAGCCTAGTTGCCTTAGCTTTAGCCGAGGCTTGGAGAGGAAAGGGGAGTAAGGGGGGTAGGGGGGCGAGCCATATTTTATATTTCACCTGGCCTTCACCTTCAGGGCTGAGTCAGGCCTAATCTTCAATCTTCAATCTTGAATCATTTTCCTATGTACAGTACAGACAGTGGGGACGGGTAGATGGATGGGTAGAGAGGTAGCTATGTCGGTAGATAGGTCTGTATGTAGGTAGGTAGCTAGCTATGTATGTCTCTGTTCAGCTCGGTTCATTCTCATCCAGCTCTCCTATCTCCCATCTCCCATCTCCCAGCTCAGTCGCAGTCGTAGTCTTCTGTGTGTGTATGTGTGTGCGCGTGTGTACCCCTTGATCAGCCCCGCCATGTCCCTCTGTTCCTTTTCGCTGTCCTTTCAGCTCAGTTTCTTGGTCCAGTTGTGCACAGCACTTCTCCAAACGACCAGATCACAGATCACAGTCCCAGGCCGATCTGGTGCCATGTGAGCTCAGCCCCATTCCTTCTGCTCAGCCCTTGAGTCAACGTCTTGGAAGGCACGGATAAATATGGCAGTGTTTGTTGAGTGCGATGAGAAACTCGCCAATTGCTGCCTACTCCCCTGCCCCTTGGTTGTAAATATGTACTGCCGCCGGCACCAAGTATCTCCGCCTAAGCGGAAGCCTCGAGTTCGAGTCCAACAGCACCAGGCCGACCGGGCTTAGTTGTGCTAGTTGTGCTAGGTGTGCTAGTTGTGTGAGTCTCCACCATACTGTTTCTTGGCCATTTCTCGCGCCGTCGCTGCAAGGCCGTCCATTTCGTCCATCTGTTTCTGGATCTTGACCGCAGCTTGTTCGCAATCACACCCGTATTTGAGGTAGACCTTGAAGAGCTTGTCCGGGCCATTAGATTGTTGAATGACTTCCAGATCGGTCTGGACGGCTTTGAATTCTGCCCGAAGTGCTTTCTCGACTGTCTTGCGTGCCTTCGATACCGCCTCTTCAAATCCTTCCGAGAGCAAATCTCGGAAGTTTTCGACAAATTCCTGACTTGAAACCCGAGCCTGCAACTTATTATGGCGTTTTATCGTGCCATGCTTTCCTAATTGACGTCAGCCCAAATTGAAACGAAATAGTCTTGACCCTCGCTATCTTACCAGGAATCTTTTGGGCCGCATAATATGTCTCGAGCATACAATCGACAATGTATGAAGCAGAGTGGGCCGAATTCGCATCAACTATGACTCTCCCTTCTTCCCGGCTGTAGCGTTTGAGAGCACGCGCAACAACATCTCTCAACTTGTCCGATCGCTTGGCAAGCGATCGGAGAAAGCTCCTCGGGGCCTGTAATTGTTGACATTGCTCTTCATATGTTTTCCATGGCCGAATGACGTTGGTCTCCAGTTCACGAAGGAGTGGATCGATCCCAGCATGGAATTCTCGGTATTTCGGGCACATGACCTCATTGAAGCATCGGAGAAGTTCCATGTTCCAACATCTATAGCCCAGAGTAGGGGTTCGATGAGTTCCCTCATGCCTCAGCCATGCTGCCACTGATTGATGCGCCCAATGTGCCCAGCCCTTGGCCACATGCAAGCAGTTCGATTCGATTGAACCAGAAGCCTCTCCGAGAGAGGAACCAATGTGCCGGCAAAAGATTGCGTTCATCTGCTTATCCCAGTCCACAACAACGGCTTGCGACAGACGAAGCTTATCCAGATCTGGCAGATATGGAGGTTGTTCAGCGTTGCTATTGATCCTGCTTGATTCCATCCAAGTCATAAACGACGCAACGAGTGCTGGAATCCTGTCAGAGATGAATGAGTTCTTCTCTTGGAACAACGCCTCAGCCGGGAGATCTGCGAGGTACTGTCTCAGCTGAGGTATTCCACTCAGCTCTTTCTGTTTGTCTGAGTCTTTGGAATATTCCACGTTGTCGACGCAGAACACTCTTAGCTTGCCCTTTCTAGCCAAGTGACTATATTTGTGAGTCAATTCCGCCTGGACTTTCTTGTTCCTGCCGTCTATGAGCAGTGTATTTAGTTTCAAGACGGCCCTTTTCAAGGCATCTTTGTAAGCCTTCACGCTGGGGTAGTCGTCGCATTGTGACTCCACTCGCCTTACCTCCGCTTTCGCCTCTCTCAGGTCTGCTAAGTTGACCAACTTTTCGATGGGCCTCGTGTCAGAGAGGTCGGCTGAGTGAGTACAGATGATTGTAACGCTCCTCGCAGGCGTGATAGAGGCACTTGTCGGTGCCTGGAGGCTCTCCAAAGTCTGCCCAATGGTAGGGTTGTCCACAACTCTGCCAATATTTGCGACGAGGAAAATTTCGTCGCACTTTGCTTGCATCTTTCGCGCAGCCCTTACTCTGGCAAGGTTTGTGTCTTGGAGTCCAGGCAGGTCGATCAGTGTAAGACCCTGACTCAAGATGCCGATTTCCGAGTAGATGGTCATGCTCTTCACAAAGGGCCATAACCCCCGGTCTTGAATGAGCGACTGATGGTCCTGGCACTCCGCTGCAGTCTGTGATCCTTTGATCCAGACCCCGTCCGGAGTCATATCTTCGGGGAAGGCCAGTTGAGCACGGTAGCCGTCCAGAATCGTCATTGCCACATCTTGACAGCCTCCGTCGTCTTCGCAGCCCTCATCGCCGTCACAGCTTTCGTCGTCTCCACAGCTTCTATCATCTCCCCGGCGTTCCTCGTCTCCACAGCCTCCGTCATTCTGACAGATTCCATCGTCTTTACACTCAAAAAGGTCGAGGTCAAAGCCGTCCATGCGACCAAAAGCAGCCTCAAAAATATCTTGTGCAGCTCGTCTGTCAGATTGAAGTCCCTCGAAATTTGCAGCACGTTCCTGCGGGTCTGCCAGGGTAAATCGACGAAAATCGCTCAGCAGCCTTCCTAGATATGTCCTGAGCTCCTTTCCAACCATTAGAGTGCACTCCAGAGTGAATGCTGACTGATGTCGGGGTTGCTGAAAACAATACTCGACGGCGTAGGGAGTGACAGCTGTTCCACATGCTTCAGCTCTTGCAAGGTCCTGGTCATCAAGCACAGAATTCAGCGTACTGCTTTTTCCATGGCCAGAATCGCCCAAAAATCCAATGAGTTTCTCGGTAGGAACTCGAAATTCTGCGAGATCTTTTGCTTCCTTCAGAAGATTCTCGGGAGGGGTTCTCGGAGATTTGTTAAGCGTATCCACAATCAGGCGAGCAATATTTATGCCTCTCTGTGTGGCAACCTCGAAGGATGGTTCGCGGTATGGAGGATATGATAGTTGAGCCGGTGAACAGGCTGTGACTTGGTTGACGGCGGGTAGATTATTCGAAGAAGATGCCATTCTGCCTCACTTCACCTCCGTCGACGGATGTGGTGTACAGCAATCGAGTTGGCACTGCTGACGTAGCTGGATAGCAAAAGAGGGACGGTGTGACTGCTACGGAGAGGCGTAATATCCAAATCCGCAGGTTCCAGGGAGCTTCTCCCCACAAAGCTAGCAGTTTGCCGATGGAGACTGGAGAGATGATGCCGTTGAAGTGATGGGACTAACCTTGAAGTGCAGGTTTCAGACTGAACGCCAGATCAAAGTGAGATACGTGAGACGTTGTTGGTAGAGAGGTATTTGCTTGAATAGAGTACCGACGCCGAAGTGGTGAAACATCCCACCTTTGACAAGGCGATTAAGAAAAGGGCTGAAGATATAGAAACGGAGATGGTGATAACAGGACTATGAGAGAGAATAGTCAGGCAAATGATGAGAGAACTGAATTCTGACTGAACTGAGGAAATGTTATTCCAAGGCCTAGTGTTGGCGATGTGCTGTGTGAAGGTCAGCAGTATGATTGTGATTGCTTAGAAGGAAGAGTGGAATAGAGAAACCTAAACAGGTAGAGGTAGAAGACGAAGAAGATGAAGATTCCGGAGATGACTATGCCCAGGATCACATGTCAAGTCGACTTTGAGGCCGTGAGATGAGGATGAGGATGAGGATGATATGAGATAGAGGAGCAATAGAACAGGCATTCTGATTTTTTCCACTAGAGATACATCTCCTTTGTCAGTTGCAAAACATACTCAGACTGTGTTTGTAAGCTGCAAGTTGCCATCGATCCAGGATCGGTGACTCAGTGGTATTTCCATGCGGGGATGATAATACGAGGGTCCCATGGTTGAGACCGTGGCATAGTAGTATGGCACCTTTTGAAAGCAGAAACAATTGACTGCTGCGGTCATGGGGAGACAATGAGTTCACTAGGTAGGACCAATGTTTGAAGGTACATCTAGATATGAGATCGAGAGTGACCGTTCAGTGGGCAGAGAGAGAACCAAGTGGGGTATGCACCAGTATGAGGCTGTCTCTCTCTCTCTCTCTCTCGATGAGACCATGGACAAAGGAAGATGGTTGGTGGTGCGTTCCTCGTTGGCGATGCCAGGTCCAGGGCTTTGTAGTAAGATGGTAGAAAAGCAACGATCAAAGGATGCAAAGGCCAGGAATACGAGCCTTAATGAAGTTGTAACAAGAATTCATAGTCCTGTGTTGATTTCTCTGATGTTGATATTGGAAAGAGCTTGAGGCTACTGCTATTAGCAAGGGCTTAGAAGGCTTAGGGGCTTGGCAGGCTCTAAGGCAGGATAATCACGCCGCCCTGTTGAAAGCTAACGGTATTAGGCTAGCTAGCGTCATCACCCCCCAAAGGCAGCGTGGAGCATATTCCTGTTCAAGGTCAGCCCTTGTTTCGCCTGTTTCGCCCCTTCCTCACAACGAGACTCCGAATACAGGCGCTCACCGTCTCCAGAAGTAGTAAAAGTGACCTTCATCACATCTTCTAAAGACATGAGTCATGGCCATTGCATTCGGCAAGTAAGAGCAAGCCATGTGCGGCTCGTCGTTTTGGAAATCGAACCGACCGATAAGAAATACGAATCACAAATCACAAATCACAAATCACAGCGTCTAGACCTGGCCGACACGAAAAACGCCAGCGCCATGCGGCTGAAAAGCCACAAACCACAAGGGACTGATTAGGTTATAGCAGTTCTACCTATCGCAGCAGCTGACCCCGATGCTGACGTGTTGGATGCCTCGTCTCTGAATCGAGCCCTGACCCCTTTTTATGCGAGAAGCAGTTCTGGGCCTTTGCTTGTCAGGCCTGCCCTGGCCGTTCGAAATGAGGCTGGAACAACCAGCAACCTTCCCTCCTCCTGAATGCCCGACACGTGATCATCCGGAGGCCCAGAAAACTAGGTATGGGCAATGTCTACGGAGTACTGTACTCCGTACCATTCGGCAGGCATCAAGAGCGGCTTTCAGCCTCAACGTCTTCTGATCATGCCCTGACCTGACCGTCTGTGCATATGGGATGAACAATCAAAGAACAGAACAGGAGCAAGCGAGAGGACATGCTTTTGATTTGGGCCACCTTCGTCACCATTTTTGGTCTGACTAAAGCGCTCGTCCTTCCCAGAGACGCCACTGCCAATGTCAATGTCAGCGGAAGGAATTGGCAGTCAGCGGTTCAAAACATCAATGGCATGAACTCGATCCTCACGCTCCTCCCGGTGCTGACGGGCAAAGTCCAAAACATCAAGCTGATCGCCAGTCGCAGCTTCCCTGCGTCGCTTGTGGTGGCCGGCATCGGCGCCGGGCGAGTGCTGTCCAAGCTGCAGATGGGCATTCTCCTGTGGAGTTTCGAGCTCTACCGTAACACGGTGGCCGAGTTGTCCTATCCGCACGATGAGTACGTGAACAGATACATGCCCAAGCTGCGGCATGTCCCCTCGGGTACGGCGGAACGGCACACGACGTCCCTAATCGTCAATCACAACCTGGCAGAGGCGTACATGGTCGAAGCGTGGTTCCAGGCGCGAGGGTGCCCGTCCACTCTCCGACTGAAGCAGAACAATTATACCAAGCTGTTAGTGGGGTCCGTCATCTACCTCGCATTCTACAGTGCCGAAACATTTCTGGCTGTCCAGAACGGCGCAGACGGCACCCGTCGCCTGCTGACCGTCGTGCAGGCCGTCTGTGTCTGCCTGTGGCTCGGGGCCGTCATCATGGTCCAAGTCACCCGTGGCCAGGGCAAGGCTGATGTCCAGCTCAACCGCACGGGATCTCCTGAATACCGGTGCCTCCAGATGCCTGCGGCCGGGAACTATGTCACCTGCGAGGTCCTCAGTTTTCATCTCAATAACCTCAGCGGGTTCCAGCTGTACGGGGCAAAGTACGAGCAGCCGGTCTTGAGGGCTGCCGGTGGCATGATCCTCATCAGCGGCGTCCTGGACGTGGTTTCGACCGTCCTGATTGTCGGCCTGACCGCCTGGGCATACCCGTGGATCGGGATCGAGGTCGTCATCATCCTCACCAAGGTCATCTTTTGCCTCGAACCAGCCCGAGAAATCGAGATTGCAAGCGTCTCCGCCGACACCGGCGGCCCGAACCAAACCGGGCCCGATCTCCTACCCCTCAAGGTCGAGCTCGGGGATAGTCTGGTTTGTCGACGGGTCACGACCGACCACAACATTGTTCACGACCCCCGCGCCAGCCTGGACTGGCGCTCGACCACGGCTGGGCTGTGGATCGGACAGGCGTACGTCGCAGAGGCCGGATCCGGCAATGTTTCCACCAGATACCTAGCCATCGATCACGAACAGAAACTCACCTTGCTCGCCGGGGAGCCCGAGAAGCAGAACAACCAAGCGCTGCAACGCGAGTTTCTGGCCGCGCTGGCGACCGTGGTTGAGGCGAACGCGGTGCCCAGCAACATGTTCATCGCGGCCGTCGAGCGGACTCTGGACAACGTCAAGAGTACCATGGCCACCAACTGGTTTGCATTCGGCTCCAAGGACGTGGTGGACAAGATCGGCAAGGCTCGACGAGATCAAATATGGAGGCGCTATCTCTGATCTCTGACTCAGTTGTCGGCCGGAGCCTGACTAGAGTTTCCAAACGACGTGACATTCTTGCTTCAGTGGCTCCGTGTCTCCCTGGGCACTGGGCAGCTAGCTAGCTACAACTGAATACTGGAGGACATGACTCTGTACTAGAGAGAAGCACAGTAGTATTCCATGCCGGCGGCTCCACGTCTCGAGCTAGCTACAATTGAATACCAGAGGACATACTCCGTACTCGCTCCGTACTTTGGACTCTGTACTAGTATTCCATGCCGGCCAGCTGTTCCTCTAGTTCTACTATACAGGTACTGATACTCCGTAGGCTGGACCACTCGGACTGCTCGGACTACTGAGAAGAAAACCACAGGTCTAGGTCTAGGCATGCAGTAAAATGCAGTAAAAAGTCTCTGTTCTATTCCTCTGTCACCGGCACTGGCATCGGCGGCACAGCGCAGCCTAAGCCTAAGCCTCCTCCACTCCTTTGCCTGTGAAGATAGCCGTACACTTGAAAAAAGAAGCCACTGTTTAGAACTGGTCATCACGCTCTTTCAGAATGAAAATCTGACTGGTGGGATAAAAAAAAAAGGAAAAAGGAAAGAGTTCTCGTTTTTTGGTTCCCCTCATACCCTTACATGAAACCGGTTGGTCCCGTACTCAAGGGCCCCGAGCCAAGGGCTCCTAAGGCTCTCGTGTTACCGCCCCCTTCAGCCTTCCAGCCATAGCCATAGCCATAGCCATAGCCATAGCACCCGTACCCAGCACACCCGACCATTTTGTCCCTAAAGAGATGGGCGTTTGGTAGATGATACAATAGACCCCGCTTAACGTATATGTCATTCGAGCAAAGTCTCTGGTTTCCGAGACGGAGCAGAAAAATCATAAACTTGGTCTTCATCTCAAGTCTGCAGATTGTTCAATCATCTCACCGTGTCGGGTCTTGACAAGATCTGGAGTGTTTGATGTGACGTGGCATTAGCTCACCGTCATCTCCTTGGCTTGGCCATGTTGCTCGACCGGTTGTTTCGAATTCCGGAAAACGTAGTTGGCCAGTTCGTCACAAGCCACAACGTGATACTTGCCGGTCTTGGCCACTTTGAGGTAAGGATTGGACGCTTTACTGCAGATGATGCTGATGTCTTGAAGACTTTCAATGGCCTCTTTGTCAGCGTCGTCAATGTCAACCGACATTTCCAGGTTGCAATCCTAGAATCAATCTGTCAGCACCAGACTTGGAAGCTCAGCCTCTTCCTGTGGAACTTACGCATTTCCAAGTCAGCCGTCGGTGGGTCTTGGGCGGCTTGGGTCGGATCAGTTGGTTGATGAGATCTTCAAGCCGGTCGCCACTCCCAGACTCAGTTTCAGCAGCAGGAACGGAAGATTGCCGGGATTTTTGCAGAGGTGGCGGCGCCAGATTGTAGCCCCTCTTCTCAGGAGGAGTGGGAGGAGGCTGAAGCTGTACCTGGCTGACTCTAGGTGAGGGGACGGGAGCCAGAGATGGTGCCGTGGAAGCACCCGCATGAGCAGGCGCGATAGGTTGACCACCGGCCAGGGCTGCCGGAGCTGGCTGGAGCAGGGGCACCGATGGTGCACGAGGGGTGCCATTGGTGCTCGGAGGCAAGGCATTACTCAGTCGACGCGACTCTCGAGGGCTCTCTAACTTCTGGTAGTAGTCCCCCCTCTCAGATTCTGGCCTTCTTGACGATGCACTCAGCGACGGGGACTGTTCGGGGTCGCGCGAGACCCCATCGGAACTCGGGGCATCGGTCATGACAACATCTCGATCTCCGCGGGCCAGATAAGGTCTTTCGCTCGCGATGGGTGGCTGGTCTATGAGCACATGACGGCCATTACTAGCCTCCTTGATGATGCCTTCTTGCACGGCCCAACGAGTCAGATCTTCGTCCTCGCGCTCTTCCTTTGCCTCGACTATATCACGGGAGAAATGACCGCCGACATGTTCCATGCGCTCGTTCCAACTGCCCTCACCTTCGAAAACACGGCCACAAAAGCCACAGGTGCTGCGCTGAGGAGGTTTACGTTTCTCAACCCAGCATCGGTTTCGAACATCTTCGAGGCTGTCCTCAAAGGCTCTCCACTCCTTGGGGTCGGCATTGCTGGGTGGGTATGGACTTGTCCCGGTAGAGCCGTCAGGCTTGTGCATGCGTCGATGATGTTGAGTGAAGAGGTCCTTCCGGTTGAAGTCATTGTAGACCCGTTTGTGACCCGGGACATTGGGGTTCAGGTCAGGATTACAGGACCCGACATCACAGCGGTAGAAGCCCAGCTGCAGATGTTGAATGGAGACGTGGCGCTTCCATTCGTTCTTGGAACTCAGGGCAACATCGCAGCCATAATGAGAGAATGAACAGATGAATTTGCGCTTGGCCGGTTCGGATCTCTTGGCTCCGGACCCGGGCGACTTTCGAGCGCGAGGCTTCACGACTCGGCCCGGGTGGGTGTCAGAGCCGGAAATGGACTGTAGTGAATCCTTGCGAGGCCGTGGTTTGATGATTCGGTCTGAGGGACTGCCTCGGAGAGATGAAGAGGCGATACTAATGTTGGACTCGGTGGTCATGGTGGGTAGGAAGTTGGTGGGTGGCGGCTTAGGCGGTTGTGGTGGGTGCGAGAGCGGAGTTCGGCGTGGGCAAGGCCAGGCGGCGACACGAGACAAGGCTTCCGAGCTTGAGTGGCCAAGGCTGGTTAAGAGCGACGGGACATGTTTTTCCTCGAAACTGGTGGCGAGAAGAGTTGGTTATGTGCTAGATGCGGATGTCTTCACTGGCGAGCTGCCGCCGTGAAGGTCGCGGGTATCCAGCTGCGCAGTGACGAGGCTCGAGGCTCGAGGCTCTAGGCTCTGAGGAGGGTGCTGCGCGGCTTCCTTCCAGGTGTGAAGGCGGCAGGAAATGGCACCTCAAGCCCAGTAAAGATAGGAAAGAAAGAAGAATCCGAGTCTGGAGCCGGGAGTACGGAGTAGATGTGAGAGATATGCCGAGTGGAATTGCTCGTGCGCGGGTGGGTGTGTGGAGGAGGCCGACAGAAGTGGAATAAGCAGAAGGCGGCGATAAGCAGAGGAGCTAGGCTACCAAAGACGAAACACGAGGCTATATTTCGTGGGAGTGGAAGTGGGAAGACCAGAGAGGAGGGCGAGGAAGAGAAGAAGAGGAGAGAAAGAATAAAGAGGAGGGGATCAGGATTGCAGAATGCGTGGTAGGTTTGGAGCGAGAGAAGTGAAGGGAGGGCAAGGTGGACAAGGCTTCTAGCCTGTAAGGCTGCGGAGGGGGGAAGGGCATCCTGCACCTTTTTAACTAACTACTCGCACCACCATCACCACCACCACTACCACCACCACCGCAGCTACTCCTAGCTGAAAGAATGCATCAGCAATGTGGCGCCTGTCAAGGCTCAGGCTTCAGGCTTCAAGGGCCACTTATTCCCACTCCCTCCCTGGCCTGCTTCTCCGCCTGCTGCACGTGTCCAGGCTTTGCAGTGCGACAACCAGGCTACAACCCAGCAAGCCACTGGGCCAGTCACCTCGATCCATCAATCAGCATGCTCGGCCGAAGACGCCAGGCCTGAGGCCTCTGCGATCTCCCACCCTCCGCCGCAATTCTTATCGCTCAGGAATTCCGACCAAACGAAGACCCTCAGGGTGCAGCGTGTGGCAAGGCCGGCCCGCAGCAACGCACGACTGCAAGTGGCCAGCCATCTGCCGAGGCTGCACAAGGGGGTGAGAAAGGCCGAGTCAGGACAGGGGACACAAGGCCTAAGGGAAGCCACAAGAGGGAGCCTAAGATTCCGCGGCAGACTTTGACAGGACGAGGCTTTAGAAAGACCAGCTAATGGCATGCCACAAACAGATTCAGCATTGCCTCCGAGCTGGCGAGATTTGGGCCAATCGCCGCCGCGGGCCAGGCTCCTTAGGCCAGGGTGCCCCTCCAGCCCGGCGGTGGCATCAGCCCATCCGCCCATCAGCAGCCAATCCACACAACGAGACGGGAACCAACTCAGGGAGGAGGGGGATCAGAAGGAATTTCGCCATCAGCCCATCCGCTTACGGAATTGGCAGCCATAGCTCGGCTGGGTGGAGGGATGTGGACTTGCGGATGCACTATTCGCGGCCTCGCCTCACTTGGGCACGGAAGCCCTGGCCTGCCAGGTCTGATCAATCTTGTAGGGATAGTAGATACGGAGTCCTCTTCTGACCGCCATGGCGCAGGCTCAGGCTCAAGCTATAGGTACCTTATGCTCTCCCAGGGCCAGGGCCGGGAAAGCGTGGCTTTTCTTGTTTATCTTGGGGCGCCGACCTCTACCCAAACCTGGCCCGAGCCCGTCCCCCCAGCCTGACACATCTCATTGTTGGCCCCATTAATATTTGCGATCAACACAAGGCTCGAAGCCTCGTTGCGGCCCAACGAGGCGTGATGGTTAAGGCTGCTGCTGGCCACTCGATTGACAAAGTGGGCGAGCCTGAAGTGTGCACCTGTGCTGTCGAGGGTGCGCCCCCATCCCAGGATGTGTGTGACCCGTGCAGTACAGGACCAGGACAGTACTGCATGCACTGCGTACCGATGTCGGCTCACCGCATGTTTCTAGCATGTCGGGTCAGTCGTCAGTCCGACTCGAAAGCCTGGAAGTGGTGAGGATGGCTGGAATTTCAGTTTCCCACATTCTTTATTATTATTACTATTGTTACAGGGCTGCTATCGGTTCCCAACCTCTGTCGATGCCCACCATCATTGGCTTTGCCGGCTGGGACTGGGAAAATCAAAACGTTGCACCCAGCCACCGCCCACTGCCCACCGCCCACTGATTTTCCCAACAGCATCAGTCCTCGTCCTCGTCCTTATCCTTATCGTCCCACACGTGCGCGCGTTGATTTCTGCCCGCATCAACAATACTACTAGTAGTATTATTTATCACCCGCAGCCGCAACCGCAACCACAACCACAACCACCGCCACCCCAGTCTCGTACCTACGGTGTTGAAGTGGGTGGCCATGCCCGGATCCCTGCCACTCAGCTGTCCTCCCCCCAAGTCTGGCTGCAACCTGGCCTGCCAATTCGACGGTGATATGTTCCCTCGCCTTCGCGCCTGCCTGTACTAGCTTAGCCTTACCCCGCAGTGCAGTGCTTGTTGATGACGAGGTTCCCTGTGCAAGTGTTCAGAGTTTTCATCGTGCCCTGATCTTCGCTGGCCTCCAAAGCCCTCAACCCCCCCTCTGCTCCACCCTCCCACCGTTCGCGCTGCGATCAGAGTCTGCCGCAGCGCCGCTGACTGACTTCGACTGCTTGATCTCTGGAGTTTCATGTGCGCCCACAGCGCCACTGCTAACTGCAACGCACGTCGTGCCCCGGACCAGTCGATCCTACTTCCCCGTGTGGTGCTTGGTGATTCAGGCTGCGCCTCAGCCTTCTGCACGTCGAGTTTGCTATTTTTTCGGCTACGTAACGCATTGCTCCTGGAGGCATTTTATGACACATAGTCTGCAAGTCCCTTGCTTACCACATCCAATCTTTTTTTTGCCGTGTCGCCTTTCATTCCTCTTGACGTCTCAGACACTCGTGATCAGGAAAAAATGTGCCATGTTGCGTCAGATCCCAAGTCGGAGAATGGCTGAAAACACTGGCCTGAGGCTACACCAAAGTCGCCGCCCGATCTTTTGCTCGCCTGGTGACCATGAAAAGTCTTCCCTGGCACGTCAAATGTCAAATGCGCTGTTTACCCCGGAACGAGCTACTTTCCATGACTGACCGTGGAACAACAGTTTCCCCATAAATACGGGGTAGGTCCGGGACAAGAACACAAGCACTTACTGACTCAAGCATTATTGATCATTGGCATTCAAAGAAAACCCGCATCTAGGAAGCCTTGACGCAGGTCTAGTTCGACAACACTGAATCCGTGCCCGTCGAGATCGACGCCTAAGTTTATTCTAGTCACCAAGTTCTCTATCGCACGGGGTACATCTACTTCCCTCTGTCGGAGGCTTACTTCTCTTTCCACATCCACCAAGTCATCATGTCAGCCCGGGTCTCGACATCCTCTAACACCACAACTACCACAACTGGGTCGGTCTCTCATCCGTCCAGCCGGCCGGTCTCTTCGATCTGCGTCCCCAAGGGCAAGTGGTATGACTGCCTGCGCCCGACCACCACGCCGTATCAGGGGTTCGGCAGCACTGCGAACTTCGCCGTCATGTCCAGCCAGCAAAACGAGGCTGAGGTGGGCGAGAGCTGGACCCGGGATGTCTATGCCAAGCTGAAATAAGTCTAATACATGGAGACTTCAAGTTGGTCTTTAGAGATGTGTCTGGTGTTGGAAATTCAACTTGGTCTTCAGAGATGAGCCTGGTGTTGGAAATTGGAATGGAAATTCAATGTTACTCTACTGCCAACGCCGCTGGAGTTTAGGATTCTACATTTCCTTGCATGACGGATATGGTCGGCGTGTGGACGAACGGCGCATTGGGGTCACTACTAGGTTTAACGACGGATGAGGTATCTATTGGGTGACGCCGCTGGAATTTACGATTTTACATTCCCTTGCATGACGGATATGGTCGGCGTGTGGACGAACCGCGCATTTGGATCATTATTAGGCTAACGACGGATGAGGTCTCTATTGGGTGGGATGAGGGCATCTGGATGTAATAGGAGTTGATGGGTTCAATGGCATGATGATACTGATACAATGCAATGCTATTGTATACTCTGAGCTCCTCGATCCATATACTGCTGTGCAGGTTTCAGGTTCTGGGATGCGTTACTCTGTCTCACCAGACTCCCGGTCTCCATCGGCAGTCGCGCCCTTCTCGGTCTCTGCGCCCACATCCACGACATCGGTCATCTCGGCGTCTGGCGTCGGGCCAGAGGGGTTTCCCTCGTCCTGACCCTGGCTGCTAGACTCCTTGGTATCCTCGGGTGCCGCCGAGTTGGGCTCTTCCTTGACTTGGGTCTGGTCTTCAGTCTCGAGATCATGTTGTTGGACGTCCTGCTGCTGCACTCCGCTTTCGACAGTCGCTTCAACCTTCGGCTCTTCCGCCTCTTCGGTACCATTCTCTCCCAGTTTCTCCTCTTCTGCTTTATACTCTTCTGCCTTCTCTTCTTCTGCTTTCTCCTCTACCTCCATGTCCCCGTTCACCAGCGCCTTGAGATCTCCGCCGTACTGGACCTTTTCACACAGCGCAAATCTCCGATCACTTGACCGTAGAGCCCTCCACAATTTGCCAGACTTGCGCTCCTCGATTTCACTCTTTTCCTCCTCCGTCGCGGCGAAATCCATGTCCAGATCGTCCGTCTCAATGGCCCGGTAATACTCCTCCAGCGAAGGGATCTTGTGTCGGGCCGACGGCCGCTTGAGAGCTTCTAACGGCTCGGTCTTTGACAGAAACGCGAGATCCCCTGCTCCTGGAGGACTAGGGAGAGGAGCCTTGTGCGCCTTCGTCGCCTTCATCAGCGCCTCGTTTGCCTGGAGGTAAGCCGGCGGAGGGACGGGCTCGCGCGAGATCGAAGGGCAGTTCTCAGCTTTCCATCGCACCCAGTTCTTATCTCGCGACAGCACTGTATCAACCATCCGATAATAGAATTTGCCTTCGTTGCCGTTGCCCTGCTGCAAGTAGCTTGCGATCGCGGCGCGGGTGGATTGTGCCCATTTCGTGTCTTCGTCAGATAGAGTATAGGCGTATAACACAGACTTATTCGTCAAGCCTTCGAATTTTGCTTTCGCAGTAGGAGTGAGGCTGAGCAGAAAGTCAATCATGATCAATGCCTGGACCAGGATGTGACGCCGGAAGTCGATGTCGTGGATTTCCAGGTCGAAGAGATCTCGGTTGGTCAGGTATTTAGGGTTGAATGTCGAGGCTGGGTGGGATCTGTTGTCTGTTTCGGATTCGATGTCGGTACGCTTGCGTTTGAGACCGCGCCTCACGTCTGACGGCGCCGTGCTGGGTGCCGAAGCGTGGGAGACGGATTTGAAGCATGAGAGAGTCGAGGCCATGCCTTCTCTGAACAAAGCCATGTTGGAAGAGTCGAAGAGCTTGATCGGTGAGGAGAACAAGGATTGAAGGGACCAGAATTTTGGATACAGAGCATCCAAGTCAGGTGGTGGTTGCGGTTGCTCTTGGGCTTCAACTTTTACCGGTCTGGGGACCGGTGTGCCTCTTGCCGTCTTGGACGTCGACTCCTGATCCTGTATTTGACTGCCTGACGCGGGTGTCTGAGCTCCAGATGTCACTTGCGGTGTTCCGGTTCCCGCGTCTAATTCCATCGGTTTGATTGCATCTTCCGACTTCTTCGGCGAGGGGTCGAAGGTGGTGACATTCTCAATGTGGAACTCTCCTCGCAGGTTGACCGAGCTCTTATCGCCCAAGGGAAAACTTTGAAACAGGAAAATGAAGACCCGGCCGCAGAAAACGGTGTCCTCTGCGCGCGACAGTCGTCGTAACAGCTCGTTGCAACATCTCAGTATCACCAAACTCTTGTGTTTGAAGTTTTTGGCCGTAATCCTCTCCCTACGAGAATCGAGATAGTCAAACACTCTTCTGCACCCATCAATGGTCTGGCTGTCCAGCAGCTCTTCAATGAGCCAGAAGCCTAAGCCCGGTTCGCAGAGGTCGTTGTCCGAAAGCACCGTTATGATGTCGAGTAACACCCAGACCTGGGCGAAAGCTGGTTCGGAAATGTCAACAGTCGCGACAATGTTCACAAAGATCTCGCGAAACACGGTCTCAACCACGGCATTATGCAGCTGAGGTGAATCAGCGGCGTCGCCTTGGCTTCGGATGGTACGGATTTCGTTGAGGAGATCGACGCAGTCGGTTTCGACGACTGGAGAGTCAGCATCGGTGTCTTGTAGCGCCTCACTTAAGAGATGTATATGGGTTTCGATAAGCGGCTTGTAGAGCTTGACCGAGGGCACATCCGTGACGGGCATTGTTGCAAGGGTGACGCCGACGTAGGCTGGGAGGGATGAGACCGCGACGACAGCCGCATGGAAGAGGGAGAGGCGCGTTTGCGAGAAATGCTCGACGCTAATTCAGCATGTGGTGAGGAAATAGGGATTCGGTTGCGCAGGGACGCCTAAAGGATGCGTTTGAATCGTGGATAAGGAGAAAGATGCTGAAATGACTGTATGCCAATTCACTGCAGGCCGCATATGCGAGCTATGTATGTACCTTGTTCACGGCAAGGCTCCTGTGGCTCTGTGGAGAAATTTTGATACTGCGCTGGATGCGGAGTCGGGGACAGGCTCAAGGCTTGATTGAGGCTCGAGGCTCCAAATTCTTTGGGCCTCCAGTAAATTTTAGATTTCTTGTTCATTCAGGACCTTGTCAACAAACCCACGCCGGGTATGACAATGGACCTTCAATTGCGTCCTGCTCTGGCGCCTGCCCCCGATATCGACGCTAGTTCCTCTAATGCCGCCGAAACGCGTTGGGAAGAACTGGCTCACAAGCACTGGCTGGACACTGCGCCGACCAAGGTCAAGCCGGAACTGATCAAAACTGCGATCTGGGATCCCTTGGAACAAGAATCCTTCGCCCTTCGGCCGCTTGCACTATTAGAGAACTTGCAAATCCTCGAGAGATTCCTTTGGCCTACCTTTTCAGCCGACTCCTCCAACCACCACGTCCTTCTCATCGCCGTCTTCTTCAATGTCAAACAACGTGCGCATCTTCAAGATTGGACCTTGTTCACAGACCGGCCTCGGGACTTCTCGCAACTGTTCCGACGGATCCTTTCGCTGAACCTGGACTCCTCGCTGTCCATATTTTGTCGGCTGTCGCTGCTACACTTTGTCATCGGCGCTTTTCAATCGCTGGAGAAGGAACACGTCCGCAAAGAATGCGCTCCGCTCGTCTCGATCTCAATATGGCACACTCTACATGATGACAAGTCTAGAGACAGGCTGCTGGAGGGAAATCCTGCCAGGAGAAAGGCATGGAGAGCTGCGCAGCGACGATTCGATGGCGCAGATTCGGAGGCACAGAATCGGCTGCGATTTGATAGAGCATGGCTGTATGCGATGCTGGTTGATTTTTTGACGCGGCTTAACGCTTCAAAACTGTCCACCTCTCAAGAGGTAGTATACTGTGAGCGTTTCGTGGAGTTCCTCATCGACCTTGTCAGTCAACTACCAACGAGACGATACTCGAATCCTCTCCTACAGGATCTCAACATCCTAGCGATCATTCGAACGTCCAGAATGTATGACAGAGAGGATGCTGCTATCTTACGCGATCTGACAGATCTTTTCGAACACTTCCAGTGCTTCCCCGTTGACGATCTGGGCAACAGTGACTCCAGCCCCGAGGGTCTCCGCAAGACTCATTACGAATCGCTGCAAAGGTTACAAAGACTTGCTCTCCAACATTTTGAAAAGAAGTTGAAGGTCCTTGCGTTGTCGAATTTCGGGTCTATCGATAAAAGAAGCGACCTCGAGTCTCATTTTTCGACACTGTCCGATTCGGAATTGCAGGATTTGTGTGTCCATCTTGGTATTCGAACCACTTACCCAACGTCAGCTGGAATTACTGCAAATCGAGCTGTCATGATGGAGAGCCTCCTTTCATCATTCTCAAGGCCTCCAGATTTCAAAGAGACCATCGCCAAGCTGTCTGTTTTCCCCACGGCCGAATCAATCTACGATCCCAAATTACTTAGGAACGAATCGTACGATGGCTCTCGACCGCTTGGAATCCCGAAATTAAATCTCCAGTATCTGACTCTTGGCGACTTTATGTGGCGATCGTTCCAGCTCTATCAGGCTGAAGCATTTTACGGAATCCGAAAAGATTTAGAAGGTATCGTTAAGCGAATGAAACCAAAGACAGGAAAAGAACGGGGCAGCACAGAATTTGAAGGATTCTCCAAAATGGCCCTACCAATTTCGGAACCTGCAATAATTGAAATCGGCCAGACCAAGGTTGGACATCTCACGCCCAGCTATGTGCGAACCGAAGTGATTCTGGATGTGAGCAGACTCACTGACGGCATCAGACGGGAATGGGAAAGCCTGAGGCCTCACGACGTTGTGTTCCTGCTAGCAGTTAAAGCACCAGATCGTTCTCGACTGCTGACCAATGGCCACGCCGAGGAGCAAGCAGATGAGCAACAATTATTCACATCCCTGAGAGCTGCTGAAGTCGTTCAAGTATTGGACGATAATGGTCGAGCTCTACGGGACGTCCAAACCAATGGCTACTCCTCGAGGCCGCGGAGGAGACGTCTTTTGCTTGATATGGATTCCACGTCGCTTTCTGAGGACAAGTCTAGACTTGTCAACGGCTCAGTCAGTGCAGGTCTCAATGTCATTGCTCGGAGACAGGGCCGAGAAAACAATTTCAAACCTGTTCTGGAAACAATTCAAAAGCTGGTCTCGTCTCAGACATCCCTTCCCTCCTGGCTTCAGGAGGTGTACCTGGGCTATGGTGATCCAAAAAGTGCTAGTTTCACCTCACTCCCCAACCAGATTAAGTCTCTGGACTATCTGGACACATTCCTTGATTGGCAGCATCTGTTGGATAGTTTCCCTGGCAAGACGGTCGAGCCTGCTGCAGGACAAGATTCGCCGCTCAATCCACCTTTTGTTCTGCGGACGGTCACACAGGCAGCCGAGGAGCCTCCAGCGAACCCCAAAAAGCGACGCCGTGAGCAGATGGAGCAGGATTCCTCCACGGTCACGGTGTCCACCTACAAACCACCGAACACTGGGCCATATCCCACGGATGCGCGCAAAGCGAATACAATTCGCTTCACGCCGAAGCAGGTAGAAGCGATAGTATCCGGGGTTCAGCCCGGTCTTACTGTGGTTGTTGGACCTCCCGGGACAGGAAAGACCGACGTGGCCACTCAGACCATAAATCTCCTCTATCACAATTTTCCCTCTGAACGCGTCTTGCTGATCGCACACAGCAACCAGGCGTTGAACCAGTTGTTCCAGAAGATTATCGCCTTAGACATCGATCCACGCCATCTCCTCCGTTTGGGCCATGGAGAAGAGGAACTCGAGACTGAGGCGTCGTACAGTAAGTATGGCCGTGTCGACTCGTTCCTAGAGAATAGGCAACTGTATCTTGCCGAAGTCAATCGACTTGCAGCATCGATCGGCGCCACGGGAGCTCACGGCGGATCTTGCGAGACGGCGGAATATTTCAACCAGGTCTTTGTGAGACCCGCTTGGGCGCGATTTTGGGATGTTGCCAACGGCGACGATGCCACGACGGAACGGGTTCTCTCTGCCTTTCCTTTTTACAAATACTTCAGCGATGCGCCTGTTGCAGATCTGTTCCCTCCCGGTGTCTCACTAGAAGAGGCTCGTGATATAGCTTCTGGATGTCAACACCATGTCGACAAGATCTTTTCAGAGCTCGAATCTATCCGGCCCTTTGAGATTTTGAGAAGTAATCGAGACCAGGCAAACCATCTTCTCGTGAAAGAGGCCCGGATTATTGCGATGACGTCCACGCACGCAGCCATGCGACGATCAGAGATTGCAGAACTGGGATTTCGCTACGACACGTTGATCATGGAAGAGGCAGCACAGATCACCGAGATCGAATCCTTCATTCCATGTGCCCTGCAGAACCCAGATGTGAAGTCTGGAGAGCTGCCACTTAAGAGGATCGTGCTCGTCGGTGATCATTTGCAGAATTCTCCGATCATTCAAAACCTTGCCTTGCGGCAATACGCCAATGTCGAACAGTCGCTCTTTCTGCGCCTGGTCCGGCTGGGTGTACCGACCATTCACCTAGACCAGCAAGGTCGTTGTCGACCGTCCATTGCTGAACTCTTTAAATGGCGGTACAATAACCTTGGAAACCTGGCGTTTCTCAGTGAGCAGCCGGAATTCACTCGAGCCAACGCCGGCTTCCGATTTGACTATCAATTTATCGACGTTCCTGATTACCAAGGGCAAGGAGAACGCGAGCCGACTCCTCATTTCATCCAGAACCTAGGTGAGGCGGAATACGCCGTGGCTTTGTATCAATATATGCGGTTGCTGGGCTATCCCGCGCGAAGTATCTCCATTTTGGCAACGTACGCTGGGCAGCGAGCGTTGATCCGGGACGTGCTCGAACATCGATGCAAGAACAACCAGCTGTTTGGGTTGCCTCGCATTGTGACAACGGTAGATAAATATCAGGGCGAACAGAACGACTATGTGATTGTGTCACTGACTCGAACACGGTCAGTCGGCTACCTGCGAGATGTGCGCAGATTGACCGTGGCACTCTCGCGTGCCAGGCTGGGCCTATATATCCTTGGACGTCGGGAGTTGTTTGAGTCTTGCTTCGAAATGAAGCCTGCCATGGATTTGCTGTTGCAGAGACCGGATCAATTGGTACTCACCACCGGCGAGATGTTCCCCACGGAACGTTTGCTGGGTGACGACGTGCTCGGTACGGAGATGGAAGGCGTGGAACATTTGGGCCAGTATGTGTACGAGATGACACAGGCGAAGGTCAAAGCAGTTGGCGGGCAAGTCACAGTTGTTGCCGGAGCTGACAGTAAGGATGCATATGGCGAGGCTGAGGCTGAGGAGGAACTTGGCCAGGTCGATGAGGAAGATCCGCTCCACGAGGTGGCATAGTTTGTGGTTGTAGCTTGGATCATTGCGATACCCGTCCATTCTGCCCCGGGCAGATAGTGAATCTTTTTTTGCTTCGCAACTCTTTTTCATGTGGCGGTGGGCTTAGCAGCAGAGGTTAGCTGTGGCAAGAAACACAAGCCGTGGGCAAAGGTGTTGTGTTGGTGTTCATCCAGCAATGGGCATTACCCACACCCACAGCCCACAGCCTCGCTTAGTCATTCACTCAAGCGCCGCCCGCCTGGGCCTGATGCAAAGCAACGTCAGTCTAAACGACCACATCACACATCCCTCAGCAAGTCTTGAATGGTCCAGATCGATTTAGTTTGAATGGTCCAGATCGATTTGTCCCACCCGCACCCGCACTCCTGTCTGTCAGTGATTCATCCAGAAGACGCTTTGATTGGGACATGGCACCACGACTCTACCTCACCGTTGACAAAGGCGATCCGGTCGCATCTCCAACGAACACGCCACACAGCGCTCTTCTGGTTTTACTCATACCGCTAGCCACCACCACTATTCAACCTACTCTAGTCTAGTCGATTTAATGTATCAAGGTTGCGAGTAGGTTTGAAACCCGCAGGACCAAGTGTGTTAGACGGATAAAGGGGGATAGATTGTGGGCGGATATTAGGCAAGGTCTGCCTGTCGAGGGCTTAGGCGTAGAGATCGGGTATGTTGTGAAGGGCATGAAGAGCGTGATTGTGGAAAAGACCGACGACCGTCCTGGACAGATCCAGGACGGCCTGCAGGACATAAGGACTGCTTGTGATGACGGACGCTTCGAAGTCGTATTGGAGTCGGCTAAGAAGAGTGGGAGAGAAGGAGAATGGGAGAGAAGCAGAATGGGAAAGAAATAGCGGAGAGGCAGCAGAGGCTGGAGCAGGAGAAAAGTCTCTTGAATGCAAGTCTGATGGAGAAGCGAAGGAAAGACAAAGAGCGGGAGAGGATAAAGAGCTTCGCCAGCAAACTTGGACATCTTCAAATGGTCCTGAGGAGTCATGACCAAACCAACCCTGGCGTACAGACGTGCAGCAATGGAGGCAAACCCAAAGCAAGCGGTAAACCCAGTCTGACCATCGAGAACAGTCTGGGAACAAGTTCAATTGAATCCATTTCGTCACAAGCGGCATGCTAATGCGGCCTTGGTGGTATTCTGTATTGACATCCCAAGCCCCCTTGGGCTTCCATAACCTCATGCCTGCCTATGGTTTTAGACAGCTTGAACGCCTTCCATGCATGTACCGTGTCGCCCCCGCGACACCCATTTTGTTGGTGTTTTGAGAAGAATTGTACACTTGGTATTCGAATCTAGTCCGTCATGATAAGTCATATCTGTCTTGTGCCTCCTACATTCCTGTGCCTTTGGGAAATCGAGCCACCAGGCAAGGTGCAAAAAAGAAACCCCTTCAAAGGCTCTTTCTCCCTTTGTCGCTTAGGCCTTGGTAGTGTAATCGACCTCGCCAGGCAGAAGACCACCGTCAGCAGCCTTTTCGCACGTGCAACTGCCCGCACTGCGTTTGCCGCATGCGCAAGAAGAGCCGGAGGGGGTAGCGTTCTCGGTCTGCGCGCGGTCACAGGTACATTGGCCGGCGGGGCGGGCTCCTAATCAGATAGAAATTGCGGTCAGTTTATGTATGCGTACTAGTTAGGGGTTGTTGGGCCGTTGGATGGTAGACAGGGTACTGTACTCAGTACTCCAGGGTAATGGAGTACTGTACACAGTCACAACGCCATGGGTAGGGGTAGGGGCTTGTAACAACATACTGCATGAACATCGAGCACCCTGGACAGTGTTCTCGGCGGATTGCTTGTTGCAAGTGCAGTGCAGGGCGGACTGTTTGCCGCACGAGCAGGTGGCTTTCTGGGCACACACGCACTCCGAGTCGGAGGCGCGGCCGCAGCAGGTGGTTGGCTTGACCATGTTGATGTGACGGTGACGGTGGTGGTGGTGGTGAGTATGAGTTGTTCAAGTTATGATGATTCTCGATGGATGGGTGATTGCAAGATGGTCTGGAAATGTAGATGTTTTCTTCAACTGCCCGGTCGGTGGTGGGATTGCTCTTTGTTTGTTCGTGTTGTATTGTCGTGTGTACTGGCAGACTGCGGGTTTATATGTTGGTTCGGTTGCTGCAAACAGTGAGTGACGTCGAGGCCATGCTTACAATCACCCAGACGTGATTGGCTGGCCTCGCCACTGCAGGTTAGCCAAGCCAATCAGGTGCTCTACGTTTACAACACGCTTACACAAGAAGACACTCACTCAGTAGCCCGACGAGTGGCATGATACGCCACCAGGTCTTCTCGGGTCTCGACACCACTATCAAGGTGGCACCAGGTGGCTAGGTATCATTATTATGATTATGATTATGATTGTCTGAACACTGACTGGCTCATTCCACCACTGCCTTACCAGTCGACCAGTCCACCATGCCACGCCATTCCACCGCACTGCCTCGTGTGTACGGACACGGAGGACGGAGGACGGATAGGATTGTCAGGTTCTTTTGTATCTGCCATAAATGGCCACGTGCCATGGTTAGCATATCCACTGTTCCCACTTGATCAACAAACGAAACGGACCCTGCATTTTTCATGTACTCCGTATTCTACTCTGTATCTAGTACGGAGGACTCGTGCACTCGATCTACAGTAGAGAGTACTCGGTAGAACGTCAGGAATAACACCATGCCAACCATGAATCATCACCATCCAATTTGCATGTGATAGAGAGTACCCCGGAATAAGTATTAGGATCATTGATCTAGGTTAATGTATCCAGCTGCTCCCTGTCACCGCTCGTCACAGTTGCTCCTGCAAACAGACTCCAGCAACTCCAGCCCCGTCCGACCAGCCAGCCGATGGATATACATCTGGACCTTGGAACTTCTTCATAAGGAATGAATGGTCTCGAGCCCCGCCTACTAGTTGGTGACCACGGCTCTCTGCAGATCTCCGGAAAGCGGCTTCCCGCACTCCGGGCAACCATCGGTCAGTTTCGGTCTGCCACTAAGGACATCCACGGTATTCTTCATCACCATCCAGAATTCATTCTTGGGCCTCCGGTCCGCCCAATCTGTCCCGCTAGCCTCCAGCCCGTCATCTCCGCCCATCGGAGTGAAGACAACTTCGGAGCCTTGGATACCAATTACTGATGCGGACAACGGATCCTCTGCAATGTAGGCCTTGGACTTGCCGATATACCGATCCTCAATATGTTGTATACACTTGATTGCCATACGGAGGGCCCGGATTCGATCCATAGGCGAAGGCTTGCCCCCCTGTTGATAATGACCAGGCACTGCCGCTCGGGACTCAAATCGTCCTCTTGCTTCTTCCTTGATCATATCAGCAATCACTTGAGTAGTGTAGGTACTGCTGGCACGCTCGTTTCGGAGTATGATCTTGCCGGCTCGGGACGCTCCTTGGTCATTCCGGAAATTTTCACGTAAGAAATCAATGTCCCGGGCAATCATGTTGATGTTGATGCCTTCTTCAGGAATGTAGACCGCCAGCGCGCCTATCGAAAGACCCGCCATCGTAGCGAGGTAGCCTGATCGACCACCTTGTGTCTCAATGACAAACACCCGCCTCCTTGATGAAGAGGCCGATTGTCTGATGGCGTCGCAGAAGCTGATCAAAGTGTTAAGGCATGTATCACTGCCCAGGGAATATTCGGTTCCTGGAACGTTGTTCGAGACAGTGGCTGGCAAGACAACCATGGGGATATTAAACGCCGGGTACTGCTCCCGAGCCTTTCGAAGCTCGCTTACCGCGGTGAAAGCTTCAAACCCGCCTACCAGGAATAAGGCATCAAACTTGTACAGCTCGAAGCACTCGGCGGTCTTCTTCATGTCGGCACTGGGAAGCCCGCGGTTCGTTCCGATCTCCGAACCGCCCTCATTCACCAAATGGTCGACGTCAAGCCACTTAATTTCCTGCACCGAACCAATCGGTTGATCATCGTGATGACGTTGTAGCCCGGGGAAGCCATTGTGAATGGCGATCGGGGTGTGGCCTCGGGTCAGGCAATAAGCCACGCAGGCTCGAGTGGCCGGGTTCATGCCACCTGCAGGAGCTCCAACGTGAATGATGGCAATTCGAAGTCTCTTCCCCTCCGGTAGGAGTAGCTCCGGCCGGTCTGTGGACGTTGTGATCCTGTAGCTGCTGTAATACTCTTTGAATTCGACGTCCCGCAATTCCATAGCTCTATCGAAGTTTTTGGCTTCAATGGCTGCGGTGACGGATTTCGTCAAAGCCACAGCCTCCATCAGATTGGATCTCTCGATTTTATTTTCACGGATGGTGATAACCGGAGTAGGGGTCTCGGGTGTCGCATCAAGGATTGCGTTCACCGCCTCAACGCCTTGCAGGGTTGACAGCCATCGATCATAGAAGCACGCCGGGCCTCCTCGCTGTGTATGGCCCAGAACAGTGACCCGAGTATCCAATTTCAGTTTGGTGTTCAAAAGGTCCTTGACATGATATGCAGTGATCTTTTTTAATTCGACGTCGTGCGCGCCTTCGGCGATGATGACAATCGACCTCCTCTTGCCCCGAGATCTATGGTTGGCGATGATACCGCACATCTCGTCCTCCCAACCAGTGCTAGGGGGCTTTTCTGGGATGAAGACATAGTCGGCACCGGTGGCTATCGCCGCCATGAGGGCTAACCAACCACAGTGCCTACCCATCACTTCGATGACGAAGCCTCGTTGATGGGAAGAAGCAGTATCAAAGACATCGTCCACAGCGGAGCAAATGCGTTCGAGAGAAGAGTAACATCCGATAGTGGCGTCGGTTCCAGACATGTCATTGTCAATGGAGCCCACAAGGCCGACGATATTGAGGTGCTTGAAAGGTTCGACTTCTTCCGGCGTCAGCTCTTTGGTCTCGACAAGCTCTTTGATCAAGCCCGGCCATTCAGCTCGGAATTTGTCTGCACCAGTCAAGCTGCCATCACCACCGCAGATGACCAGAGCATCGATGCCCCTCTTGACCATGTTTCTTGCGGCTTTCAATCTTCCCCATCTTTCCATGAAAGCCATGCACCTGGCTGTGCCAATGAGCGTCCCGCCGCGAGACAAGTATCCTCGGACATCTTCCCACTTCATCTCTTTAATCAGATCTCCACCTTGTACCAGGCCCTCGTAGCCTTCATAGATGGCGTAGGCCTCGCAGCCCCTGTAGATGGACATGCGGACGACGGCTCGTACTGCCCCGTTCATGCCAGGGGAGTCACCTCCGCTGGTCATGACACCTATCCTTCGTTTTCGTGAGGGCTGCCCCTCCTTTTTTCCAGCCATGTTGTGGGATGTTCGAAGGCAATGGGGGGAGAGAGGTTGGAGGTAGGTGGGACAGAGCTAGGTGGCCGGCCGACTTCTTTGGAGGCTATATGTAGGTCGTCAAGGCCGACTGCGGACAAGAGAGGAAAAGAAAGCAGGGACACGTGGACGTCACAAGGGAAGAAAAGAATATCGAGGGCGAGAAAAACATTAACTCGTGGAGTCAGAAGAAAATAATATGCTGGGGATCGGATGGGGTGGGTGGGATCGTGAGATAGAGCATTTTACTCCATGATGAGGGCCTGGTCGGTTCAGCCGGCCTCTATGTCATATCAGGTGTGGGTGAGGGGAGTTGGGGTCGGGATTGGCGGCTGTTGGCAGATATTGGGCTTGGACCTGGGCTGCTAGGCTATTTTGGACGGTCCCTAAAGTAGTTCTCAGGCTCCTCCTCTTAGGTATCTGGATTGGCAGTCTGGATTGGCACGTCAAGCTGCGCCATCCACCACCAGCTCCTCTCCACTTGTTTCCCAGATCCCTCTCGCTAATCATGGCAGCTTTCTTCTTCATATTAGTCAAAGAAGCAATATCACACACGGCACGGAATACGGAGTACCGATATGTGATCCCGCACCCTCTTATCTGATTACGCCAACGGTTCAGTTCTTCTGCAACGCCTTTCCTGTGGACATTCCCCGGGCTACGAAAGACGGGTGAGCCATTTCATCTCCGAACAACGCGCGAGAATCAACTAGGTTCAGGAAAAACAACTCCTCTGCGCCAATGACTGAATCAAAAACCTTCACCGTCCCCATCCCTCCTGAAGGCTCTTCGACCTCGCAAGATTTGCCAATCCAGATCCAGAAAATTATCGCTCAAAAGGGTCATTTTCGTCATGTAGCCGAGCGGTCGCTTCTGGCCGAAATTCACGGCAAGGCTCTAGCCTCCGAGGAGAATGGACCCCGTAGCGAAGCTGATGGTCAGACGAACGAGATCGAAGCGCCCCAGGAGCTCCGGGAACGGTTGTGGAAAAGCAGGGAGGAGATGCTTGAGCGCTTGAGGTGAGTCTATTAGCTGACTCGTCGGTGTCTCTTCTGACGAGCTGACCGCTTGATGTAGCTATGCGCAAAATGAAATTTTGTGCGCTTTGGACTTTGTCTCTCTGCTCATCTCCAAACAGTCTATTCCGGCCCAGAGCTCCATGTCTCCAGCGCTCAAAGAAGCAGTCCCTGCTGGCACTCTCGCTGCACAAACCTTAAAACTAAAGCCGCTTCCCTCTTCTGTGCGACAACGGCTAGCGTCCACCTCTCAGGGCTGGAGATTGGAGAGTTTTCGGTCTGCTTCAAACAAACTGTCTGCAGCGTCCTCGAGACTCAAAGCTGACACAGAACGTGAGACCGAATACTGGGCGCAGATCGCCGATTTGACAGCTTCTGGCTGGGCGGTTTCGCGGCTACCACGCGACAGCAAAGCGATTGGCGTGCACTTTGGATTTCCCGAGTCCGCACCACGATTCCGTGATCGAGGTTTTGCACTCCTTCGTCAAGCCAATGATGGCGCGGTCATTCTAGACAAGCACCTGCTCGAGAGGAAGCGCAAATGGCTGGGCGTCTATGTGAATCGACACAATGTCCGAACCGGGTTCTTCTGTGCCCAGAAACCCACGACAAGCCGGTCAAGGAGCATCAGCGAACAGCTCACCGAGATGCGTGATTCGTTATTCGAGGAAGAGTTGTTCTACGAGATCTGTCGTGAGGCTCGTATAGTGGCAAATCAAGGAGTCTCCACTCGTGCTCAAGCTGTAGATCTCGAGGTCGGTAGCGGATATCATGTCTCACTTGTGTTTGCAGAGGACCATGATCTTGAAACCTGTGCGAATGCAGACGACAACACAATAGCCGAATTCGTCGCAGTCTCACTTCGCTTGCTGCTGAATGCCGCTCACCAGCAAAACTTGATCAGACGATCCCAGAAACCACCGCCGATGACCCTCAAGCCTCGTCCACTCCCTGAATACCCCCTTGTTCGACCCGTTTTGACCCATCTCAGACACAAGGCTGAAGCAACCGCTTTCTGGAAAAGCTGTCAAACGCTTATTCGGCCTTTCCTACAAGCCGAACTACCCGTCTCAATTGCGTTGGAGAAGTCAACGAGTCATGTGTTCGGATCTTTAAACATGGACGCGTCATCTACAATACTGTCTGAAATGATGCTTCCGGCAAAGGCAGGATGCAAAATCAGCCTAACAGGAGGCAGAAGCATGCAGGTCGGCCTCGCAACCTTTCTTGGACCTCCCCTCTACGGGTCACGTTACGAGACCTCTGCCGTTGATTTTGGCTTTTCGCACATACCTAGCTTGCGCCACGAGACGGAAGAGACGACTGTTTCCTTCATTCGACGAGTCCTTTTACTGGATTTGGTTGTGCATGTGGAATCTATGATCAAAGAGTTCAATAATGTCAATAAGTCAGAACGTGGCACATTCAGGGAATGGAGGCTGGCCCAACCCCACAACGGCGAATTCACCCTCTGTGATTCAGGTGAGGCTGTGGAAAAGTTTAAGGTTGCTGTTCTGCCGGAATCCATCAGTATCAAGTGGAGCAATTTGGGCAAAGGATCCGCGACGAAGTACCTGATATGGACATGGACCGCCAGCAAGTGCACTAAAGCAGATGGCACGGAGGTCGAGCCCGAGACTGATATGACTTTTGGACAAGCAGTGGATCGAATTTTGAAGGGAGTTATTTAGCTTGTTTGGTTTGTGCAGGGGGTGTATATGTCCTCCGAGGAGGACTTATCCTGGATTAACGGGCCACCAAGGACAATACTATTCCAAAGGGCAGACAAATATTATCGTCGGACTTACTCTGGGCAAGACCTCTTTCGCAGCACCTGCGAAGTCTCTTCTGTCAGGAAAGACCGAACGGTGATGTCGACCACCTATTGTGAACGGTCTATCACCATGTTCGGAGCTCCCGCATACCTTAACCTGAAACATGAAAGGACTTTGCGATATTTCCTCGGCATTGCAAGGAGACACCATACAGACCAGCACGCTCGACGACATATGCAAGCACGCTTCACCGACCACCGCTGCTCGAGGCGGGGACAAACTTCTTGCGGTCACATCAGTTCCTGGTGCTTGGGTCCAAATTTATCTCCCACTCGGGCTCGTCAAAAACAACTCAGGGTGGCGAACACCTATGCGAGGGCGAGGGTCTGCCCTTTGTCAGAATGCCAGCGAAGCTATATTAGGGCTTGTCAACCATACGACTACACCTTGATTTCGAGTATGTAAGCAAGGGCCTTGCTGCACCAGAGCGAGGATGAGGATAGAGGACAGAGAAAGAGAGGGGGATGGGAAGACGAATCGATATGAAATGTCATTTAGATGGAGTGGTACTAGGTCCTGATTGGACGATGATCCAAACTGGAGCCGTACTGTCATTCCACGTTACCGTGCATCTGACCAGTCATCTGAGCATTCACTGCAGGTTGGGCAGAAGGCAGATTGTCTGTCTAGGTATTATTTACCAAAAATACAACAGATGCAATACGGTAAATTACGAATCCAGAAATTTGGTGTCGTCCTACAGCGCCTCTCTACGTGCATATCGACATTCACGCTCCATCCCTTCGCTCACCCTGATCGTTCCACACCAACAGAGAGTGTCGTGTCGTGTAGATGTCGAAGTGAAGGGCTACGATATCGATCATGACGACCCGATATCGCGTCGAGTGTAGGGCTCCTCCATGTCCCTTCAAACACGTAACCTTTGCTAATGAGCCATAGATGCGCTCAAGGCAAGTCGGTGCCCAATGGACAGGCGACCCATCGTGCTAACATGATTATGTATAGACCCATAGAAGGGACCAACTGATTGAGTGGATCAAGGTGAGTTGTAAAGCCAGCAGTTCCCTCGATAAGACTCTCCGGGAGCCTGAGCCTGACCGCTTTCCAAGGGTCTGCTTGCCGTACCATTTGTGCTCAACTCGCAGCCAGCAGTCGAATATGATGACAACAACGTACAAAGCCTGGATACTATGGCGCGATCGGCCCGCCAAAGATATGCCGAGATCTTTCGAGACATCGAGGATCTGATCCTGGACCACAGTGAGTATGGCAATGGTCTCCGCAGGTTGGCATTGACCAAATCACAGTCAATCGCCAGTACACGTCCCATCCCAGGTCGAAGCTCAACATGTTGGTTCCCACCATCTCATCTTTCTTTACGCCACTTGCTCTGGAAGATGCCTTCTACCACCAAGACTCCATCAGGGCGATTGCTTCTCGCCGCTTTGTCGCCCCGTCGTTCAACGACATCCGGCTCATTCTCAACACCGCCCAAATCATGGCGATGATCCAGCCCAAACCATACCGCGCCCTGAAACCCAAAATAAAGCCGGGCCTGGAGTTGCTCACCTTTGATGGTGATGTGACCTTGTATGAAGACGGGGCGTCCCTCCAATCACCAGAATCAGATCCGGTAATCTTGCGCCTGCTGCACTTCTTATCTCAAGGCGTGCGCATCGGCATAGTCACGGCTGCAGGCTATACGCAGCCGAGGAACTACTTTGATCGATTGTCCGGACTGCTCCTGGCCGTTCGATCATCGACTCAGCTGACCTCGGCCCAAAAGTCCAACCTCATCATCATGGGTGGCGAATCCAACTTTCTCTTCGTATTTGACGAGAATGCCGAGTACTGTCTACGATACATCCATCGACGAGAGTGGGTGCTGGATGCCATGAAGACCTGGTCTGAGCCAGCGATCCAGTCACTGCTCGACGTGGGAGAAGCAGCTTTCCACTCATGCATACGGACCCTGCATCTACAGGCCAAGGTCCTCCGCAAAGAGCGGGCGGTGGGAATCTACGCCTCAGATCAGTCCAAGAAGCTTAATCGCGAGCAGCTTGAAGAGACGGTCTTGGTGGTGCAGCAAGTGGTGGAGAGTTCGCTGGTCACGCTAGGCTCGGAACAGGCGCCTCTCCATGCTCACATCCCCTTTACGGTGTTCAACGGGGGGGCGGACGTCTTCCTCGACATTGGCGATAAATCAATGGGAGTGCAGGCGTGTCAGAAGTGGTTTGGCGGGATCCCGCCGTCTAGCACTCTCCATGTCGGCGACCAGTTCCTGAGCGGAGGGGGCAATGATTTCAAGGCGCGAAGTGCGTGCTGTTGCGCATGGATTGCCAGTCCGGGGGAGACGGTGGGCTTGTTGGACGAGATGATAGCTCTGGGACAGAGACATTAATAGCAAATCAAGGCATGGAAAGGACTGTACGGAGTACCTCCTTGTATGTAGTTAAACACCCTTAAACACCTACAGTCAGCCTTAGCCCCCTAAGCCCCCAGTGATTGGCCCGGAGTTAACAGGGGGGCCGGACTCTTGAATGATTCGGAGAGCCACAGGAGCCATGTTCGAGACACCGCAACCTCCTTTCACGCAACATCACCGGCGTGTCTCAACATCTTCGCCCATCGACCGGCACCACGAGCATTCTCTTTGCCGACTAATGACAGCTACCAATCCAATCTCCGCTGTCCGATAATCATGGGATGCGATACCGCCGCAGCCGCAGCCAGGCATCACTGACCAGTGACCAGTGCCCCAGAGGCCTTCCTACTATCCGCACCTGCGGTCTGTTTACTTCTGCGCTCACGTCGCGGTGCGTGTTTGGATGCGTTCCCTCGTCAGGCCCTAAACCATGTCGTCGATGCGAGGTCTCGTTCAGTTCATTGCCGACCTCCGAAATGCTCGCGCCCGGGAACTGGAGGAAAAACGCATCAACAAAGAGCTGGCCAACATTCGACAGAAATTCAAGAACGAGAAATTGGATGGCTATCAGAAAAAGAAATACGTGTGCAAGTTGCTGTACATCTATATCCAAGGATACAATGTCGACTTCGGACACCTTGAGGCGGTCAACCTCATCTCCGCCACCAAGTATTCCGAAAAACAGATCGGGTACCTCGCAGTGACCCTGTTCCTGCACGAGCAACATGAACTCCTGCACTTGGTGGTCAACAGCATCCGGAAGGATTTGCTGGATCATAATGAACTAAACAATTGCCTCGCGTTGCATGCGGTTGCCAACGTCGGCGGGAGGGAAATGGGTGAGGCCTTGAGTGCCGATGTCCATCGGCTTCTAATATCTCCTACATCCAAGTCCTTTGTGAAGAAGAAAGCAGCCCTGACGCTCTTGCGCCTCTATCGAAAATACCCTGGCATCCTCCAGCCGGAGTGGGCGGAGAGAATAATATCACTGATGGATGATCCCGACATGGGAGTCGTTCTATCTGTCACCTCTCTCATCATGGCTCTGACTCAGGACCACCCGGACGCCTACAAGGGTAGTTATGTCAAGGCTGCCCAGAGGCTGCATAAGGTCGTCATCGAGAATGACGTTTCCCCAGACTATTTGTACTACAAGGTGCCGTGCCCGTGGATTCAGGTCAAGTTTCTGAAGCTACTCCAATATTATCCACCCTCAGGTGAGTTACTACCCAAGCAAGTGCTGGCTGTGGCTAACACCCTCAATCAACAGAGGACTCGCGTGTTCGCGACATCATCCGCGAATCGCTCCAGGCGATCATGCAAGCCGCAACGGAGACCCCGAAAAATGTACAACAAAATAATGCCCAGAACGCGGTTCTTTTCGAGGCCATCAATCTACTGATTCATCTCGACACCGAGCATCAGCTTATGCTGCAGATATCCTCCAAACTCGGCAGATTTATCCAATCGCGTGAGACAAACATACGTTATCTGGGACTAGATGCGATGACCCATCTTGCTGCCAGAACCGATACGCTCGACCCCATTAAACGCCATCAGAACATCATCATCGGGTCTTTGCGAGATCGCGACATCAGTGTGCGGAGAAAAGGATTGGACCTGCTCTACAGCATGTGCGACACTTCGAATGCTCAGCCCATTGTGAATGAGCTTTTGAAGTACCTCCAGACAGCTGACTTTTCCATACGAGAAGAGATGACACTGAAGATTGCCATTCTGACCGAAAAGTATGCCACCGACGCGCAATGGTATATCGACATTTCTCTGAGATTGCTTGCCATGGCGGGGGATCATGTCAGTGATGAAGTGTGGCAACGGGTTGTCCAGATTGTGACCAACAATGAGGAGCTGCAAGCCTATGCGGCGCAACACATCTTTGACTATCTGAAGACGGAGAATTGCCATGATAGTCTCGTCAAGATCGGCGGATACATCCTGGGAGAATTCGGGCATCTGATTGCCGACAACAAAGGATCCAGTCCAATCGAGCAGTTGATGCTGCTGCAGACAAAGATGATCTCCGCGCCAGACCCGACGAGAGCACTGTTGCTGTCGACATTCATCAAATTTGTCAATCTTTTCCCCGAGATCAAGCCGCAGCTGCTGCAAATGTTCCACTTCTACAGTCATTCCCCGGATTCGGAGCTGCAACAGCGCGCTTGCGAATACCTGACCATCACCACGCTACCCACCGACGATCTACTCCGAACTATATGTGACGAGATGCCTCCATTCTCTGAACGGGCATCGATCCTGCTTCAGAGACTGCATAAGAAGAGTGCGGGATTGAGCGAGCGAAGAACCTGGGTCGTTGGAGGCAAGGACGCCAATACCGACAAGCAAGAGGTTCTCCTTGCGCAACAACCGACTGGGTTGAAACGGTCATTTACGACTATTGTCAATGGTGGCACGGGCACAGTTGACACAAACGGGACGGGATCAAGGAATGCCAGCGGTGTACAAAACGGTGGTCACGGCAGTGCGTCGAAAGACCTCGAGGGCTTAGACATGAACGGACATACCACCGACACTACAGCTTTCAATCTTGCCAGTACAGCACACTTGTCTCCAGACTGGGAGATTGGGTATGAGCAAATGTATTTTGGCAACAACGGCATTCTGTACGAGGACCCTCAAATTCAAGTTGGCCTCCGCGCAGAGTACCGCGGCCACCTCGGCGTGGTCAAGCTGTACTTCGCCAACAAAGCCTTGTTTCCCATCGGGTCCTTCACGACGACCATCGACAACAAATCGGCGCCGAATTTGAGAATCGATACAAAAACTCTCCCGGACTCCAAAGTCGATGCCGACTCGCAGGTCCAGCAAACCATAGTCTGTACGTCGGTGGCACCGTTCTCTGAACCTCCCACCATTCGAATCTCATACCTCGCCGGCGCCCTGCAGGGGTATACGCTGAAACTGCCGATCCTGCCGCACCGGTTCATGGACCCGTCGGAGTTGTCGGCCGAAGATTTCTTCAAACGATGGCGACAAATCGGGGCGGGACCCTTGGAGGCACAGAGCACGTTCAGCGTGCGGACGCCGACCACGCCAATGAGTGATGCGTATATCCGGGACACCGTGGAAGGATTTCGCTGGCGGATTTTGGACACGGTCGACCCGAACCCGAGAAACATTGTCGGCTGTGCGGTGCTCCAGCTGGAGAAGGGCAAGACGGGGTGTTTGTTGAGGCTGGAGCCGAATCAACAGCAGAAAGTATGTCTACCATCTTCTCTTTTGTTGATGTTGTTGTTGTTGTTGTTGCTGCTGCTGCTGTTGTTATTGCACGACTTGTTGACGCATTCACTAACCTATGCGCTTACAGATGTTCCGTTTGACCATTCGGGCAACGCAGGAGAAAATCCCCGGGATCTTACTGAATATGATGCAAGAGCGGTTGGCCAAGGGACCATGATTGTGGTCATCTTCCTGGAGGGTGTAGGCTTTCCGAGACCGGGCTTGAGGTAGCCGGCTGTGCATGCCGTTTTGATATCAAGAGCAAGGCCGGATGTTGAAATGGTCATCAGTAAATCATTTAACTACCTGCACGGAGCACCTGAGGCGGTTGGAACGAGCTGTCTATGTCATCCGTGGTTCTTGAACCTCCTTCGTGGCGTGGCGTGGTGTACTGGGTTGTACTGGGATGTAACTGGTCTGCGCATTGCATTCCACATACGGAGTACAGTACATACAGCACTGTCGAACAAGGCCAGCTGGTGAAGGCGTCCAGTCCAGTGCAGTCCAGTGCAGCTGATTTTCATGATCATTGCCATTGTCATTGCTATTGAGTCGCTAGTTCAAACATGCTTCTTAGTGATGTGATGTGATGAGAATGTCGATGTCTATTCAAATCTACATATAAATCTAAGTCTGAGTATGTGTATGTATACCTATGTGTATGTGTATATGTAGATATATATAAGTTATATATATATACACCTATATATTAATATGTCTGTCGATGTGTATATATATAACGTGCATGATAAGCGAGTGAAACAGACAAGCGAGTGAAACACCTCAACCCGACCACCTCGACATTTTTGACCTACACGCAACCACAACGCATAGAAATGTTTGTAACTACTTAAATTCCTCTTCTTCAGACGAAGTAATCACTACTTGACAGGTTCTAGAGTTGTGTCCGACGTTGCCGCAGACACCACACCGTCGCGCGCGCGT